CCACCACCAAAGACATTTCTCCCTCCCCACCCTTATCTGCTTTCTGTAGGGACCACTCTCTCCGGGACTGCCTTGTCCACTCCACACTCCCCTCCAGCCCCACCACACCGGCACTTTTTCCTGCAACCGCAGGAAATGCTACACTTGCCCCTACACCTCCCCCCTCACCCCATCCCAGGCCCCAAGAAGACTTTCCACATCAAGCAGATGTTCACCTGCACATCTGCCAATGTGGTATACTGCATCCGCTGTACCCGTTGTGGCCTCCTCTACATCAGGGAAACCAAGCGGAGGCTTGGGGACTGCTTTGCAGAACACCTACGCTCGGTTCGCACTAAACAACTGCACCTCCCAGTCGCGAACCATTTCAACTCCACCTCCAACTCCTCAGACGACATGTCCATCCTGGGCCTCCTGCAGTGCCACAACGATGCCAACCGAAGGTTGCAGGAACAGCAACACATATTCCGCTTGGGAACCCTGCAGACCAATGGTGTCAATGTGGATTTCACAAGCTTCAAAATCTCCCCTCCCCCTACCGCATCTCAAAACCAGCCGAGCTCGTCCCCGCCTCCCTAACCTGTTCTACCTCCCACCTATCCCCTCCTCCCACCTGAAGCCGCACCCCCATTTCCTACCTACTAACCTCATCCTGCTCCCTTGACCTGTCCGTCCTCTCCGGACTGACCTATCCCCTCCCTAACTCCCCACCTACACTCGCCTCGACTGGCTCCATCCCCGCCTCTTTGACCTGTCTGTCTCCTTTCCACCTATCTTCTCCTCTATCCATCTTCTATCCGCCTCTGCCTCTCTCCCTATTTATTTCAGAACCCCCTTCCCCTCCCCCATTTCTGAAGTAGGGTCTAGGCCTGAAACGTCAGCTTTCCTGCTCCTATGATGCTGCTTAGCCTGCTGTGTTCATCCAGCTCTACACCGAGTTTTTCTAGCCTCTCCTTATAGTTCATACCATCTAATCCAGGCAACGTCCTGGTAAACCTCTTCTGCACCCTCTCCAAAGCCTCCACATCCTTCCTGTAATGTGACGACCAGAATTGAATGCAATACTCTAAGTGCAGCCTAACCAAAGTCTTATAAAGCTGCAACATGACATCCTGACTCTTGTACTCAATTCCCCGACCAATAAAGGCAAGCATGCCATATGCCTTCTTTACCACCCTATCTACTTGTGTGGCTACTTTCAGGGAACTGTGGACTTGAACCCCAAGATCTCTCTGTACATCAGTGCCGTTCGGGGTCCTGCCATTAACTGTATACTTTTCCTTAACATTTGATCTCACAAAGTGCAGCACATCACACTTACTCAGATTAAACTCCATCTGCCACTCCTCAGCCCACTGACCCAATTGTTCAAGATCTCTTTGTAATCTCAGATAAGTGGCACTATTAGCCAATTACATAGACAATTCCCATTAGCAACTAGAGCTCCTATATGGTTAAGTGTGAAATGTACCAAAAACAGGAGGCTTCCTTAACAGAAAGTGCACACTGATCCTTCTAGCTTTATTTATCCAGGCAAAGGCAAGCTGTTTGCCTTTAACAACTCCCCTCCAGGACTATTTTCCACCTTCTCCTCTGTGCCTAGAGTAACTGACTAAGAGCCAAACCTATTCCTTGATCAGTCAGGGCCTTTTCCTTTAAAAATACCACTACCTCACTGACACGGGCTTGGAACCCAGAAGTGATCCAGCTGTTAGGAAGCTGACGCAAGGTTGAAAAGGCTGTCCAAAACATTTTCGTCCTAACTGATGAAATGTAGTGATTTCAGCTGTCACATATTAAAAAACATGCAACAACAGATCGAAAATGATCGCATGCAAAATGTCTGCATCTCTTGTGAGAATTCCACAGAACAAAATCATGCTCCCGTTTGGAAACAGAGATTCATAATAAATTACTGCAGGTTCTGGCCATAGTTTATAAACTCACCTGTTGGATTATGTGGGAGGTTCTTGTCAGCTCGCTCTGATGTTTTTGGATGGCTAGCTGAGAGGCCTGATTGATCGGATTCTCCGGAAATCCCGCTACAGGATAGACCTACAGGGACAAAGGGATAGGAACACCAACAACCATTATAATCCAGAATATCAAAGCCATAGTTCAAAACCCTTTCATTACCTGTATCACTCAACTGATTTTTCTTGCGCATCTCTACTCAAATGTTAGTGTTATCACACTGAATGAGACGAGAAAGTTGTGAGATGTCAATAGTCCAACAAAATGTTTACTTTATGTATTTGTTATTCTCCAGTAGTTGGTCAAAGAAGGGAGAAGGCCAAAGGCAGGATATAACTTCTGCTTATATAGCACCTATCACCTCCGCAGGACATCTCAAAGATCCTCCCTACCAAAGAGGTAGATGTTTTGTTAGAGTATATAGTTAGGGAAATGCAGCAACTAATTTTCACACACATCAAAGTCCCACAAACATCAATGAGAAAAGTGACCAGACAATCTGTTTGAGCAACACTGATTGAGAACTAAATGCCATGACACGAGGTGAGATACCCTTCCCTTTGGGGAACATAGCACTGTATCTTTCACAATCACTTAAGAGGACAGATAGAGTTTAGGTTGTTGTCTCAATTGAAAGATGGTACATCCATCAGTGCCACACTCTCTCAGCAGATAAATACAGTGCTAACCTGGGTTAAGTGCTAACTTATGTTTCTGTGTGGCAGTTGTCTCTTTGGCTAGGTTGATGTTCATGGATGTAAATAGTGCTGTTACATCGAAGGATATCATTATCTTGTCCTGTTCTATTCTGGTGTCCTTGATGATGTTGAGGAATTCTCGGGAGGGGTGGATGGAGTGGGTAATGTTGTCAACTGAGTATTTCAATTTCTGTTGTAGTTCTTTTGCTAGTCTATATGTTGGCGTACTGGTCCTGAGACAATGGATCTGAGGGGAGCCCCTGCCTTGTGTATCTTGGGGAGTCCATGGGAGCAGGGTGTGTTGGATCCCTCTGGCTTTATTTTTTGGTAGTCTGTCTTGCTGTTATCTCCTGAGTTGTGCAATTTCTTCAGGGTTGTTTTGATCTGGTTCCATCACCACACAACAACAAAAAGACCAGAACAAAGAAAAGACTAGTCCAACAAGAAAAAAACTGTCCAAACTCACCCACAACGACAACACGGATAACACAGAAACATGGATCAAGAACATCTCAGACCGACCACTTACAGACACTGAGAAGACCGTCCTAGTATGTGGGCTGATATATAACTACAGAGACGCCAAAAAAACTGACTTCCTGGCTGGGCTGGAATCAACACTAAAGAACAACCGACTCACGGAAGAAATACAACAGATCATCAGACAGACAATAGTCCCAACACTCAGAAGAAAAGGTAAGTGGAACACATTCAACACAGAAGAGAAGAAAGCTCTGGAAAGATTCAAGACAGAAACATCGTAATCTTATCAGTGGACAAAGGGTGAATGACAGTAGTCCTTAATAGAGCCCAATACATCAAGAAAGCTAACGCACTACTAGCAGATACCGACAGATGGCGATAGACCCAACGCCACAGTCAGAGAATCAGATCAAAACAAACCTGGAGAAATTACACAACTCAGGAGATATCAGACTACCAAAAAAATAGAAGCCAGAGGGATCCAACACACCCCGATTCTATGAACTCCCCAAGTACACAAGCCAGGGGTTCCCCTCAGACCCATTGTCTCACTACCAGGTACACCATCATATAGACTTGCCAAAGAGCTACAACAGAAGCTGAAATACTCAGTGGACAACACTACCCACTCCATCCACTCATCCCAAGAATTCCTCAACATCATCAAGGACACCAGAATAGAAGAGGATGAGATGACAATATCCTTCGACGTAACAGCACTATTTACATCCATAAACGTCATCATAACCAAAGAGACAATTGCCACGCTGCTGGATGAATCAAGTAAGCAAACAACTCCAGGACACGAGCAACATCAACAAAGGACAGTACCCTGAAACTGCTGGATCTGTGCCTTACAACCCACTTCACCTTCAACAACCATTTATTCAAACAAATCAACAGAACACCAATGGGATCCCCAATGTCAGGGCTGATTGCAGGAGCAGCAACGCAAAGGTTAGAACAGACAGCGCTCCCCACTATCCAACCCAAACTCTGGGTCCGCTATGTAGATGACACCTTCATGATTATCAAACACACAAAATTAGAAGAAACCCACCAACATATAAACAACATCCTCACTGGAATAAAATTCACAAATGGAGGACAATAACCGACTACCCTTCCCAGACGTAACGGTAGAACGTAAAAACAACGGGGAACTCTAGACTAGAGTATACAGAAAGACCGCACAAATGGACCAGATATTTAATTACACCAGCAACCACCCCAACACCCATAAACAGAGCTGCATCAGGACGAGCAAACGAGCCACAACACACTGCAGCAACCTGCAACTGCGCAAAGCAGAACAGGAGCAATTATACAGAGTTTTTAAAAGGAATGGATACCCAAAAAGCACAATCCACCATTACCTCCGCGACAGACCACAACAAGGAGACATGACATGGCCAGACACACTAGTCACCCTACCGTACATTAGGGGCTTATCAGAGATGACCACAAGACTACTCAGACCCTAGGTATCAGAGTAGCCCACAAACCAACAACCACCCTGTGATAGCTACTGACGAACGTAAAGGACCCCGTACCCACAACCAATAAATCTAACATAATATACAAAATACCATGCAAAGACTGTGAGAAACATTACTTAGGCCAAACTGGAAGAAAACTGACAATACGAATACACAAATGCCAACTAGCCAACAAGGGTCTCAATACACATGGACAGAGAAGGACACAAATTTGACTGGGACAACACATCCATAATAGCACGAGCCAAACAGAGACATACCAGGGAATTCCTGGAGGCCTGGCAAACCAACTGGAACTCCATCAACAAACACACTGAACTGGACCCGATATATAAACCACTGAGAAACAGAACCGGAAGTGATGCCAACCACCCCAGCAAACCAAGTCATATAAATAACAAGTACGTCTATAACCTCAAAAATATTCATTCTCATTGTCCCTGAACAATTAATAGACAATTTTGCATCCCCACAATTAGACTGACTAATATTTTCTTGTTGTCATTCCTGCCTCCTCCTGCTCCCAGCTCTCATGTTTTTAGATTTAAAGGAGGAGCTAGATAGATTTTTAATTAGTAACAGGTTGAAGGGTCATGGAGAGTGAGCAGGAGAGTGGAGTTGAGGCTGGGATGAAATCAGTCATGATTGTATCAAATGGTACAGCAGGCTCAAGGGGCTGAAGCTCCTACTTCCTGCTTCTTTCTTACTTAAAGAAACACAATGGCAGGTAGTGGAATTCAATAGAACTCTGGAATAAAAACCGAACCGAACGGTGACCGTTTAATCAATGTCAATTGTCATAGAAACGCATGAGATTCACTGATGTCCTTTCAGGAAGGAAATCTGTCATCTTTACCTGGTCTGGTTTACACGTGAATCCAGATCCACAGCCATGTGGTTGTCTCATAATTGCCCTTTGGGTGAAAATATTGATCTAACCAAGGTGACGCCGACATCCAATGAATAAATAATAAAAAATTATCCACTAACAATAATGATAGTTCTCAAGCAACTGATGGAGTAGCAAACACCACAAATCTCTGAATGTCCCTTTAACCTGGTGATGCTACAAACAAGACTAATTGTATGCCAAACAGCTGAAGCTATTCCACAATCAATGCCAAAGGAGGAGGCTCCACAAATATCCTCGTCCTCAATGATGGAAGAGCCCAGCACATCAGTGCAAAAAATAAGGCTTCAGCCAGAAGTGCCGAGTAGATGATCTATCTCGGTCTCCTCCAGTGGTTCCCCAGCATCACAGATACCAGTTTTCAGCCAATTCGATTCATTCCACGTGATATCGACAAATGCTTGATCTTGAGGCCACACTCGCTCAAATGCAGCCTTGATGTCAAGGGATGTCACTCTCACCTCACCCCTGGAGTTCAGTTCTTTTGTCCATGTTTGAACCAAGGCTGGAATGAGGTCAGGAGCTGAGTGGACCTGGTGGAACCCAAACTGGGAGTCACTGAGCAGGCTATTGCTGAGCAGGTCCTGCTTGATAGCACTGTCGATGACACCTTCCATCACTTTACTGATGATCAAGAGTAGGCTGATGGGGCAGTAACTGGTTGGGTTGGCTTTTTATGTATAGGAGAGAACTGGGCAATTTTCCACATTGTCAGGTAGATGCCAGTGTTGTAACTGTACTGGAACAGCTTGGCTAGAGGAGCGGCAAGTTCTGGAGCACAAGTCTTCAGTAGTATTGTTGGAATGTTGTCAGGGCCCATAGCCTTTGCAGTATCCAGTGTCTCCAACCGTTTCATGAGGGAGAGTTGGGGGGGGGTGCAGTGGGAAGAGAGTCTCTCCACTGGTTGGAGTCATACCAGGCACCAAGGAAGGTTGTTGGAGGTCAGTCATCTCAGCTCCAGGGAATCTCTGCCCGAGTTCCTCAGGGTAGTGCCCAAGGCCCAACATTCATGCCTCATGAATGCCAGGCAATGTTCATTTCCAACAAGGCAGAATCCATTTATTTCACCAGCACTGAATTCGCCAGCATTAACATAACCATTGGCCCAATGTGAGGGGTGTCTCCAACCCTCAAGCACAGTGATTGAGCCTACAACGTGCCCTCAATGTTCCTAAGTGAACACTGTAGTCGTCCAGGACAGTCAGCCCATACCAGCAGCGAGTTTCCCTAGGTAAGGTTTAACACAGCAGGAAAAGGAAAAAAGGTGATGGACTCACGGTCTTTGGATATTTTTAAGGCAGAGAAGGATGGATTCTTTGTAAGCAAGGAAGTGAAAGGTTATTGGGGATCAGGAAATGTAGAATTGAGGTTACAATCAGATCAGCCATGATCTTATTTAATAACAGAGCAGAATCCCAAATTGCCTACTCCTGCTCTTATGTATGTTCAAAAATGCAGTTTGTACTCCAGGTACTCCATGGCACTCCCATACCAACCAGCCCTTTGATCTCTCTGCAGCTGATTTGGTTAAAGTCACTCAGCAAATGCAGGTCCACCCTTTAATAAATGCTGGCTTACAGGGAAAATTCCCTTCCTTACCCTGTATTGTTGATCAGTGAGGATGTTTTGGCCTGCCATTTTGTCATAAAGGTCCAAAGGAAGTCCACTTTGTTGATCAGCAATGCTTTCGTCAATGATATTTTTCCTGATTGAGAACAAGAGTATAACTTAGTTTCTTTCAGTGCAATGTAGCAGGAAGTTAGGCTTAGCCAAGCCCTTTGAAATGGAGTTCACTCAGTACACCGTGCTGTAAGCACGTGTAAAATACTCCTCTTTCAGTCTAATAGTACAATCTGGCCGCAAACATTGATCTGCTGTACTGTACACTATTCACAACAAACACAGCCAGGAGCTGCTACGTCGATACATTTTGCTTCGCCTCTTTGTTAAAGGATCACAATGCCTTAGTGTGTGGATACTGGGTTTAAAGAAAACCAAACAGAAGGACTACTCCATTTATTTTTATTTTTATTTATTCATTCCTTTATAACAACTGTGGAGTCAAATTATGATTTAATATGGTCAAAGCAGAACTGCACTTTGGCCTGAAGCCTATGTATTTAAGGATTATCTTAAGGCATTTTCAACACTTCAATCCTGCACATGCACTGCAGAGACGTGGCTAAGGGAGCTGAATATTTATGGGTACAAGACCTTTAGGAAGGACAGGAAGCTAGAAAAAGAGGTGCGGTGGCTCCGTTTCTTAAAAGATGGCAGTGGCTCAATAGAGAGGGACAACTTAAATTCAGCAAACCAAGCTGTGGAAACAATTTGAGCAGAGATGAGAGATGATAAAGGTAAGACATCAACTGTGGGAGTGGTGTACAAGCCACAAGCAGTAATCACACAATAAGTTGGAGCATAAAGGGATAAATAAAGACAGTTTGTCACAAAGGCATGTGATTATCATCAATTTTTAATCTACATATTGACTGGAAAAGTCAGACAGGCAGTATGAGGAATATGAAGAGCTCATAGATGTTTTCAGGATAATTGACCAGAATGCAGGCCAAAGTAGACCTGGTAAAGAAAGAAAGTAGACCTTGGATGCTGGAAATCTGAATAAAAAGATGAGAAAAGGCTGGAGAAACCAGATTAATGATTATAATTAATAACAGAAAGTAAGGAAATAGCAGATGAATTGATTAGGTACTTTGCACCAATCTTTATGACGGAAAATACAAACAATAGAGGAACATGGAAAATAAGAGCAGGAGTAGGCCTTTCAACCCTTGGAGGACCAGAAACTTTGAAGAAGAGTGATGTTAGGCTCAAAATATTAACTGTTTCTCTCTCCACAGATGCTGCCAGACCTGCTGAGTTTCTCCAGCATTTTCCGTTTTTATATTAGACCTGGTATTGTGTAACCATGGGATCAATGAACAATCTCATAGTGAATGTGCACTTACGTAGGAACAATCATAATATGGTTGAATTTTACATTAACTTTAAGGCACAGGGGGCAATGGGTCTGAGACTTCTTTAAAAGTTGAAAAAAGGACAACTATGCTGATATAGAAACAAAGCTGGCCGAAATGAATTGGCAAGTTAGCTGAAAGGTCAGTAGAGAAGCAATGGTGGACATTTAAGAGGTTATTACAGAGTACACAGGTTAGTGAGTAAGGGACATTTCAAATGAGTAAAGGACATTTCAAGGAAGACACCCACCACCTGTGGTTAATTAGAAAGGTTAAAGGATAGTATTAAACTTAAAAGAAAAAGCAAAAACATGTGTAAAGACAGGTGGCAAGTCAAAAGATTAGACAGACCGTCATAATCAGTAAAGAATGATGAAACAATGAAGACAGAAAAATTAGGGTATGAGAGAAAACTAGTCAGAAATATAAAAGTGAATAGTAAGAGTTTCTATCTTTAAAGAACGAAGAGTTTACAACATGAGTGTTGGTGTTTTGGAAAATAAGTCTATAATTGATAATGGAAAGTAAGGAAATGGCAGATGAATTGATTAGAGATAGTAGGAACTGCAGATGCTGGAGAATCTGAGATAACAAGGTGTACAGCTGGATGAACACAGCAGGCCAAGCAGCATCAGAGGAGCAGGAAGACTGATGTTTCTCGCCTAGACCCTTCTTCAAAAATCGTTTCCGAAGAAGGGTCTAGGCCCGAAACGTCAGCCTTCCTGCTCCTCTGATGCTGCTTGGCCTGCTGCGTTCATCCAGCTCTACACCTTGTTATCTCAGATGAATTGATTAGGTATTTTGCACCAATCTTCATGACGGAGGATACAAAGAATACAGAAACATAGAAAATAGAAGCAGGAGTAGGCCATTCGGCCCTGTGAGCCTGCTTCACCATTCGATACGATCATGGCTGATCGTCCAAGCTGTTCTCGCCTTCTACCCATACCCTTTTATCCCTTTAGCTCCGAGAGCTTTATCTAACTAATTTTCGTAAAAGTTCAATGTTTTGGCCTGAACCCCATTTTGTGGCAGAGAATTACATAGGCTCACCACTCTCTGGGTGAAGAAATTTCTCCTCATTGCAGTCTTAAATGGTTTATTCCATATTCTTTGATTGTGGCCCTGGTACTGGACTCCCCAGTCATTGTGAACATCCTTTCTGCATTTACCCCCTAGTCCTGTTAGAATTTTTTAGATTTCTGAGATCTATTCCTTACTCCTCTAAACTCCAGTGAATATAATCCTCACTGATCCAGTTTCTCTTCAAATGTCAATCCAGCCATCCCAGCAACCAGTCTGGTAAATCTTTGTTGCATTCCATCCACAGCCAGAACATCATTCCTCAAAGAAGGAGACCAAAACTAAACACAATACTTCAGACATGGTCTCCACAAGGCCCTGTACAGCAAGAGATCCCTGCCCCTGTACTTGAATCCTCTTGCTATGAAGGATATCATACCATTTGCTTCCTTCACCGTCTGCTACACTTGCCTGCTTATTTCCAGTAACATTAAGATAATAATCTGCCTTCATTTTTTTGCTACTAATGTGGATAACCTCACATTTATCCTCATTATGCTTCATTTAACATGCATTCGCCCATTCACTCAACTTGTCCAAATCACACTGAAGAATCTTGATATATTCTTCACGGTTCACCCTCACATTCAGCTTTGTGTCATCTGCAAACTTGGAGATATTACAATTTACATTACTTTCCAAAGGGGAAAATGGAAAGAAGGGTGGAATTCAGGAAAATTATAAGCACTGAAGAAGTGGTACTAAGTAAATTATTGAAGTTGCAGGCTGTCAAGTGTGTTAAACCTGATGGTCTTGAACGAAGTAGCTAGTGAGATAGTTGATGTGTTGGCTTTAATTTTCTAAAACTCCTTTGATTTGGGCCAGTCTCCATTAGAAACTTGAAAGGGTTCAGAAAAGATTTACGAGGATGTTGCCAGGGTTGGAGGATTTGAGCTGTAAGGGAGAGACTGAATAGGCTGGGGCTATTTTCCCTGGAGCTTCGGAGGCTGAGGGGTGACCTTATTAGAGGTTTAAAAAATCATGAGGGGCATGGATAGGGTGAATAGACAAGGTCTTTTTCTCTGGGGTAGTCGAGTACAAAGCCAGATGGCATAGGTTTAAGGTGAGAGCGGAAAGACATAAAAGGGACCTAAGCGGCAACTTTTTCATGCAGAGGGTGGTGCGTGTATGGAATGTGCTGTGAGAGGAAGTGTGGAGGCTGGTACAATTACAACATTTAAAAAGGCATCTGGGTGGGTATATGAATAGGAAGGGTTTACAGGGATATGGGCCAAATGCTAGCAAATGGGACTAGATCAATTTAGGATGTCTGGTCAGCATGGACGAGTTGGACCAAAGGGTCTGTGTCCGTGCACCGTACAACTCTATAACCCTATGACTAGAACATAGCGAACGCAACTCCTTTATTCAGAAAGGGAGGGAGACAAAAAGCAGGAAGATAGAGCTCTTTTACTTTAACATCTGTTACAGCAAAAGTGTTAGAAGCTATTATGAAAGAAGATACAGCAAGACGCTGATAAATTCAAAGTAATACAGCAGCATCAACATGGCATTGTTTAAAGGAAATGATGTCTGACCAATTTATTGAAGTTCCCAGTGAAGACGTAAGATTTGATGTGGATAAATGAAAGCTTAGATTTCCAGAAGCCATTTAGTAAGGTGACTTATTGAAGGTTAGTTCTGAAAATAAAAGCACATGTTGTGAGGGGGAGCATATTTGCATGGAGAGATGTTTGACTGGCTAACAGAAAGAAACAGGTTGGCATAAATGGGTCTTTTTCAGGCTTGCAAGATGTAACGAGCTGTGTGTCTCAGGGATTAGTACTGACATTTCAACTGTGTATATTATTTTAACTTTTAAAAATCTTTTAACAATGTATATAAATGACTTGGTTGCAGAGACTGAAGATATGGTTGCCAGATTTGCTGATGACACAAAACTGGGGAGAAGAGTAGATTGAGAAGAGGACATAAGGTGCTACAAAAATATATAGACGTCTTAAATGGATGGACAAAGGGGGTCCGACAAATGGAATATGATATGAAATTGTCCATTTTGACATGAAAAGTCAAAACTACGTATATTATACAAGTGATGAGAGATTGAAGAGCTCCGAGATGCAGCGGCATCTGGGTGTTCTTGCGCACGAATCACAAAACTTTAAAGTGCAGGTACAGGAAGCAATCAGGAAAGGTAACAGTAATAATTTATTGTGAGGGGAATTACTTACAGAAGTACAGACATTATGGTTAAATCAGAACATTGCTGAGACCACAACTGGAGTACTATGTACAGTACTAACTATCTTATTTAAGGGAGAATGCTAATGCACTGGCATAGCTCAGAAAACATTTACCAGACTAATACCGAGAATGTACGTGTTTATCTTACCAGGGTAGGTTGGACAGACTAGGCTTGTACCCACTTCACTTTAGGAGAGTAAGAGATGACTTGATTGAAACATGTACTATCCTGAGGGATGTTGACAAGGGTATATGTGGAGGGGATGTTTCCTCTCATGGGAGAATCTAGAACTGTCCAAAAATCAGGAGTTGCCCATTCAAAACAGAAACAAAGTCCTTTTTTTTCTCTCTCTAAGAGGGTTGTTAGTCTATGGAATTTTATTTCTGAAAGGATGGTAGAAGCATTTCCAATTCCCTGACTCCAAGGATTCCCTTTCTTGGTCCTTTACATTTCCAGTTCTGTGAATCCACTGAATTAATCCCTTTCTTCTGTTTCCACTAGTTTTTACACTAGACCTTCCGTAAGATCTTTGCGTGAAGCATGTGCACCTTAATGCTTCTTGCAATGGCCTGTTATGTACGGCACTTCTCAGTATAATCATCTCCTTAAGTCTAAGTATTACAGAGCTGAACGTACACGTTACAGATATCTCCAATGTTAAGTTTGACTTCACTATTTCAAATAATATTTTATCCAGCCAAATGTTCTTCCTGCTCCAGAATCTTTTTTTTTTGAAAGGAGAACCCAAACTCCAGTTTGCCTTATAACCTGCCTTGTACAATGTCCCTTCTCCTGCATTCCGATGACATACTCACACTAGTCTCTGCTAGGCTGCCTCATTTCCTATCATTTGCACCCTGTGTTGACGGGAGGTATTCCCAGGAAAAACGGCCTAAATTAAGAGGGGAACAATGCCTTTCCCACAAGAAATGGGATTGGCTCCAATTTCCACAGTGCCACGAGTGTAGCACTCTTAATTCTTTAATTAGCCATCCTTGTGATCTGTCACTCTCAGGTCGGCTAAGTAAAGGTCAGCGAAATATTATTGATTCATACTATGGTTGCATATCCATGGAAACTGCACAAGTTGTCACCTTCTAACCTTATAGGTAGAATAATCAAAGCACTTCCAAAGTCTTGACGTCCTCCTTTTACCTGAACTGGATTTGAACAGCCATCAGAAACAAGGAAACAGAACGCCAAGGCTGCATTCCTATGTAAAATTCCCACAGCCCTTGAAAATGTGATTGAGTAGCACTATGCTCCTGCACTCGATGAAGCCATTAAGCTTACCATTTGACTGTCAGCTGGATGAACACCATCAGTTGTCCACTTGCTTTGCATGTTTTGCACAATTCTGTCCCCTGACCAGAGCAGTGAGTACATCTGAGGACAAACAAGAAACTTGAGTTAGACAAATGGCAGTATATTTTCCATTGAACCAACTTTACTAGGAGACTTGTCTATTATATGCATGTCAAATAATCACACCTTAAGTAGCCATGCCTTGGTGCACTCAAGATGGTTAAAAAAAAGTTAAATTCAGGATACTTTGTATTCTGGATTTAAGATTGCTATCTAACGTATTATATATCAACGTGGCTGACTCACTTCAGTACATTGTCCTAGTAACAACAAGAGAAGTCTATATGGTTCTGCTCTAAAATATTCAGGAATTATTCCTTTCCAATTTGACTCCCCTCTCTATGAGGGCATCTAACCCTTACTGCAATAAAGTGCTGTCTTATTCCAGAGGCTGTTGTGTGTGGATGAATCTTGGCCACTAATGGTTATGAAAATTATAGGGAACACCCTCCCTGATGTGAAGAGATCCAACCCAGCATCGACAATGCTGAACGTGGTGGCAACAGATGCTACCAATTGTTTCTGGTATTCCCAAGTTGCTGAAGAGGGCAGGGGAGGATAAGAGCAGGAAATGAAACGGTTCTCATTTTCATTTCTAGACATACATGAACGCCACTCCTACCACCAGACATTCTTCCCAAACTGGGCACTTAGATCTTACTGGAGTTCACCAATTCGGCATAAGCTTAATCATTCTTTCTTACTTTTGAAGTCCAAAGCCATTACAGCGTGTGCATATATCATTGCCAAGTTGGGATCCTCGACCTTTACACACCCAGCACTTCACCTGCATGTACAAAACAGCACAGTGTTACTTGATATCTTTCCATATCACATGAGTGCCAATCTGTTGACTGGTAAAGTCCGATGCTTGACATGCAATGAACTTGAAGGATTCACAGAAGGTAGGTGATTCAACTGGTGAACTATGCGACAATAAAAGGAACTTGCATTCATATTAAACTCATTTGAGAGAAAGTATTGGACTGGAAAAGGTTGGAATATTTTGAATCTACAGAACAAGGAACATAATTTGTTGAATGAGCTACTTTCAACAGTCAGTCACACATTTCACTTCGGTCCAAAATCAGATCAGCCATGATCTTATTGAATGCTGGACCAAGCTTAAAAGGCCGAGTGGCTTACTCTCATTCGCTGTTCGTACATTATTGTGGGCTCCATACTGCAGCTTTCCATTGCTTGCATTCCACAAGGGTCAGCACAACATAGGGTCACTACTTGTGAAATAGGCAACAAAATCTAATTTCCAAGCATTTCCCAGACTGATCATTGATATCAGTTAGAGTCAACTTCTACTAGAAAAACAGTCATTAATCTGTTGCCTCCACACGCCTTAAACAAAAGGACGAATAGTCACCTTTGAGTTCAAACACTGTGGCATCAAATCTCCAGAGACCTGGGAACAAAATCTAGGTAACAAGGTGTAGAGCTGGATGAACACAGCAGGCCAAGGAGCATCAGAGGAGCAGGAAAGCTGATGTTCTTCAGGAAATCCCATTTTCTGAAGAAGGGTCTAGGCCCGAAACGTCAGCTTTCCTGCTCCTCTGATGCTGCTTGGCCTGCTGTGTTCATCCAGCTTTACACCTTGTTACCTCAGATTCTCCAGCATCTGCAGTTCCTACTATCTCTGAAACAAAATCTAGGTGCAGTGCTGAGAGAATGCAGACTGTATTTCATATGAGATGTTAACTCAGGGTCCTTCCTACCATTCAGTTACCAAACGTCTTTGGTATAGGAAGGGCAAGGGAGCTCCCAACAGTATCCTGGCCAAAACGGACACCTAAAGCAGTAAAATAGGTTACCCGATCATTAGCTGCTGTCTGTGGGACAAATTATCTGCTGTGTTTCCTACATGACAATGGTGTAAACTTTAAAAGTAATTCAGTCGCTGTCAGGCACAGAGATATTCTGAGGTCACGAAAGGTACTATGGAAATGCAAATTCTTTCAATCTTCCTTTCTGAGTAAGTGCCAAATGATAGAAAGCAAACTGGCCCATTAGAACTGCTTGTTCTATGCATCACTGAAAAACCCCTCTTACTGCCCACAGCTTCTGTCTGTCGCTAAACAGCCATTTCCCATCCAGAACTTTGAACAAAGCAACATTCTGGAACATTCTGATCTCCTCTTTTAGGTGTCCTTGGTGTGGCACTTAGAAGATGTCGTGCCACTCAGGAACCATTTTGAGGACGTCCCAACTTCCCCCAATCCTGTTCCCAGTCAGATATTCACTTTAAAAATAAAGTTCACTCGATTGGGCTCAGTCTCACCACTGGTACCAGTGACATGGAGGCCTGGAGATTAGAAACTTACAGCCAAGCCATTTCTGGTGGGTCTTGTCTTGCCTGCTGGCTGTGTTCCAGAAGAAGGATCATAGCCACCAGTTGGCATCAGGGATTAGTCAATCCAAGACAATCAATGATAGTTTCACAATTACCATTACTGCGATTAGCTTCCAAATCCAATCTTTCAGAATCGAATTTAAATTCCACCAGCTGTTGCTGTGGAATTTGACCCCATGTCCCCAGATCATTATTTTGGGAGTTTGGAAGTACTACACACTGAGTCTTTGACTGGGTTAGGGGTAATGGGGCATTTCAATCCTTGAGCTCACTAACAGACCTGACTGATTGGTTAATCCATATGAATTAGCAAAGCATTAATGTAATAATGTAATAATCCAGTTCAATACTGTTCAACAGTAGTATGCATCACTGAGCTGCTCTTCTATTGACTGAGGCCTCTCCACACTTGGGACAGTAACCTTGCTAAGGAAGAAGTAACCTTCAGGCAAGACTACATCAAAAATACATGAGAAGCTCTCAAGTTCACTTCTTACCTGCCCTGTCATAGTGCATTTGTTGCATGCTATTTTGCCCAATGTCATACATATGTGACACCCCTGGAGAGAGAGAAGGATACAATTAAATGAGATTAACTTTGATCCTGTACTCTGTGAGTTCATCTACAAATCACAAGAAGTAAATTCATTCTCGGTACATTTAAAGCAGGGAACTGCACAGTAAACCATGGGGCTGGGTCTCAACTTTCATGCTGCGACATTTCCCCATCAAACTTCAATTCTTGTTGGGATAGACGGTGTGAAAGCCCCATTGTGCACAGCATTCACTGTGCAAAAACAAGCTTCAGAAAACATTTTGGTATTTAGCCAGCTCCCTTCATGGCTATATGATATGGGATTGGCAGTACAGTACATGCTGGCACATCCTATGCTGTGCCTTTCAAAGTTTGGGCAACTTAGTCTTTTTAGATCAATAGGACTAACTTTCAAAAGGGGCTGTGTACTTTCAGCAGAACTTGCAGGATTTAAACATTGTAATTCTGAGTTTTGCAGTTCAGCTAAAATAACATGGACCTTCCAGAGGCAGGAGGTGATCATCCTTTCAATGTACAGCATAGGCTCAAAAAGACTCATCAGAAATTAGAATAGTTACAGCACTGATTACAGGATTCATTTTGCTCCTTCTTCTTTTCAGAAGCATGCTCTGACAGTTCAAAACAAATCTGACAAGCAAAAACAAGCTTGCTTGATGGTTCTGATGTTCCTAGATGATTAAAAGGCATTAACAACTTTCACATGGGAGATGGGACACAGTTATTCCACAGAGTTCAGAGTATGCGAACCTGAGAATTTCTCTTTGGTGTGAATGAAGGACAACCAGACCTTTCAACAGCCATCAAAAACAAACCGTGGATGCTGGAAATCAGAAATAAAAAACAGAAATTGCTGGAAAAACTCAGCAGGTCTGGCAGCATCTGTGGAGAGAAAGCAGAGTTAACGTTTCAGGTTCATGACCCTTTTTCAGAGTGGACCTTTACCGGCCAGTGGGAGTGGGGTCAAGAAAAGGAATTTTATCTTGCAATCTCCAACTCTAATTTACATTTGATACTGCATCCGGAATATTAGTTCCACGTCAGTCTCACACTTCCATGTTGATCAAGTCCATTCCAGCTGATTTAATAGCGATTTTGTTTTAGGTAATGTCCCATAAAGTGTACTGTGGGTATAACAACATTATGGTTTTACTACAGCTGTCAGAGAGGAAGCGTTCCCTCTTATGAAGCCTTACCTTTATGGATGAAGTGTGGGGCACTGCGATTTTCTTCTCGTGGTCCTGAAACATCGGCGGTCTCTCCACTATTATATCCCAGGGGAGGGGAGGAATTCCATAGGCACTGCTATCCACAAACTGCCCTAAAACAGCAAGAGACCACTGTTCCCTTTTAAAACTCATGGGCCAACATCAGAAAGACACCAAAACAAAATGTAAGCACATCAGAGATAGAGATGAGCTAGCCACGAGGAGCAGCAATGGAGTCTTCATTGCAAGACAGTTAAAAGAGGGAAGTAAAGAGTAAAGGGATGTGACAGATTTTTTTTCTCAAGTTGTAGGATTTGACAGTGGCTGGTAGCAGGACAGGATATGTGCAGAAGAATGAAAACCATATAACCTCCATCCATCAGCAGATAAAGAACCCACAGTGATTGGAACAAGGTTGGCCAAGTCGATCTCATCAAGTGGGAGTTCCCTGATTGGCACAGATTAACAGCCTCAATCAGGGAGTCCTGGCTGCCAGATATAAACAGGAGGCTCAGGGACTCTCCTCACTCTAGGGCCTGGCTCTGAACTGGCTGGTCAGAGTCCATGCACTGTGCACATAGAAATAAAGGTTGACTTGGTGACAGGATACCGGTTTCATGAAGTTATTTCAGAAGTGTTCCTAGGAGGAGCCAACCTGTTCTATGCTGGTTACCAATACTATGCAAGAACATTTCAGTAGCAGTAAGGTGTACTTACACTCAAGTATAATCTGAGGATTTACCTTGGACACACATGTAACCTAAATTTGTAATGTAACTTGCTATTAAGTAATTGTAATAAACCTTTATTATTTATCAAGATTGAGCTTATCTTCTACTGAAGACTTCATGGGGGCATACCAATAAGGTACGCCAATACCATTGAACCTACCCAAGGCAATCCTAGTTCAGTGGATGTGATGACAGCATTACAAGACACTGGCAACTCTGTAATCCAAGGTTATTATAAGAAGATGTCATATACATGGACTTCAGTAAGGTGTTTGATAAGGTTCCCCATGGTAGGCTGATGGAGAAAGTGAAGTCGCATGGGGGCCAGGGCGTACTAGCTAGATGGATAGAGAACTGGCTGGGCAACAGGAGACAGAGAGTTGTAGTGGAAGGGAGTTTCTCAAAATGAAGAACTGTGACCAGTGGTGTTCCACAGGGATCCGTGTTGGAACCACTGTTGTTTGTGATATACATAAATGATCTGAAGGAAGGTATAGATGGTCTGATTAGCAAGTTTGCAGATGACACTAAGATTGGTGGAGTAGCAGATAGTGAAGGGGACTGTCGGAGAATGCAGCAGAATATAGATAGATTGGAGAGTTGGGTGGAGAAATGGCAGATGGAGTTCAATCCAGGCAAATGTGAGGTGATGCATTTTGGAAGATCCAATTCAAGAGCGAACTATATGGTAAATGGTAAAGCCCTGGGGAAAATTGATGCACAGAGAGAGATCTGGGTGTTCAGGTCCATTGTACCCTGAAGGTGGCAACGCAGGTCGGTAGAGTCGTCAAGAAGGCATACGGCATGCTTTCATTCATCGGACGGGGTATTGAGTACAAGAGTTGGCAGGTCATGTTACAGTTGTATAGGACTTTGGTTTGACCACATTTGGAATACTGCGTACAGTTCTGGTCGCCACATTACCAAAAGGATGTGGATGCTTTGGAGAGGGTGCAGAGGAGGTTCACCAGGATGTTGCCTGGTATGGAGGGCGCTGGCTATGAAGAGAGGTTGAGTAGATTAGGATTATTTACATTAGAAAGATGGAGGTTGAGGGGCGACCTGATTGAGGTCTACAAAATCATGAGAGGGATAGACAGGGTGGATAGCAAGAAGCTTTCTCCCAGAGTGGGGGACTCAATTACTAGGGGTCACGATTTCAAGGTGACAGGGGAAAAGTTTAAGGAGATATGCGTGGAAAGTTCTTTACGCAGAGGGTGGTGGGTGCCTGGAACGCGTTGCCAGCGGAGGTGATAGGGCACAATAGCGTCATTTAAGATGTATCTAGACAGATACATGAATGGGCAGGGAGCAGAGGGATACAGATCCTTGGAAAATAGGCAACAGGTTTAGATAGTGGACCTGGATCGGCGCAGGCTTGGAGGGCCAAAGGGCCTGTTCCTGTGCTACAATTTTCTTTGTTCTTTGTTCTAAGAACCTTAACTGAATAGATCACAGAGGCTTGAAGCCACATTGGAGAACAAAACTTAGGGATTGGCCAGGAACATGGAAAGCAGAATGGACTTTCTTTTTTAAAAAGTGTCAATTGGTAACCCAAGTGAGTGATAACATTAAATTACTATCGCTCTGTCAGAGATGTGACTGCTGTGTACTGATGGTTACATAAGGTTTTCACAACAGTAGTATAGCCAGCCATGTGCCTTTGAAGTTTAATAGTTTGTTGGGGTGGCTGTGATCTCTGTAAAGCTCCTACACACTTTGGATTTAAGTTGTTACATACATGTTACATACTCACCACTATAAGGCACCATCTTCCACTTAGTTGATCTGGACTCAGTGAAGCTTTCTAGGCGGTACTAAAGTAAAATGAACCTTGGTTTAGCAATGTTTCACAAGCTATAAGTGATTTACATTCGCAACATTTTATTGACAGCTTGAATTTGCCTCAGTAATACAACACAGAACTTATAGCGCCCTCTCCCCTCGCCATCAGGAGTCGGGTATGTTGATGTTGGACGGAAGGTACGGTGTGAATGTCCCCTCACCTTTGTAATCCCCACTTCACTGATTAAATCAAGTACAGGCAAGGCTGAGCCTAGGCCAATCGTTGCCCATAATGGCCGACAGGTCTCACCCCACACCCTGCTGGTAAATTTCTGGTAGCTTCACCATGTTAGCAGCCATGTTTCACCACCCAGTGAAAGCTGGCAACCTGGTCACAGCTTGGGGTGGGTGGGGTCCCGTTTTCCCAAAGTGGGAATGTCTGGATGGAAGCGCCATGCCTGTGGGGAGACCCAATCCCTGCCTTCTGCATTCTGTCCTTCACAATGACATAACCTGCCTCCCTCTGCCTGACTGGCGAGGGAAAAGGTGACCCCCTTACCTTCTTCTCTCGGGCCTATTAGACTGCTCCTGGTCCAGGGCCTGCTGCAATGCCAGTAGTAGGCACCACTTCTGGTGCCCCTGCTGGTCTCCGAAATGGCTCAGGGACCCTGAAAGCAGACAGGGAAGTGCATGGTTGGGATTTAAGCCCATTAGGACTCCCCAGAATAGCTCTGACAGGCTAACCGCTGAATCTCAAGCCTGTGGATGGGGCCCCACTCCCACACCATTAAATTCAGTCCATCCATTTTAGTTTTATTTATATTGAATTACGGCCATACTGGACGCACAGATCTGGTTTGATGCCCCATTGGCACCAACCCTCAGTCTATGTTAAGCTGCTAAGTTTTAAATCCCTGCATGGTCTTGCCCCATCCTGTTTGAGTGACCATTCCTACCCTCTGTTCCATTGACACAAACTCACTTTAGCTGCTTCAAACATGCAATGTAGCACTCTGCTCAGTTACTGGGCCCCTGCCTTTTGTAACTTTGCAGTCTCTCTCTCCTTTCCTTCAAGACTCTATTTAAAATAAAATTGCTTTGTTGACATTATTCTGGTGTCGCAGTTTTTAGTGTAATTTGAAGTTCCCCTGGACTTCAAAACCATTCTTTGCCACCACATTCTACACTAAGCTCCAAGATCAGTGACATTCCTTGTCTGCTCTGCTTTGCCACAGAAAATATGGTCTTAATATAAACAGTAGCTCCATTTGGCACAGGATGTTTGTCCTTTTGAAAATGTGATACAGATTCATCTTTATTTTATCATATCGTTGATAGACAAATAAACAAAAATCACAAACTGTTACTTATGACCAGAATCATAGGATCCCTACAGTGTGAGAGAAGGCCATTCTGCCCATCAAGTCCACACCAACCCTCCAAACAGCATCGCACCCAGACCCACCCCATCCCTGTATTTCCCACGGCTAATCCACCTAGCCTGCACATCCCTGCACAGTACAGGCAAATTTAGCATGGCCAATCCACCTAACCTACACATCTTTGAACAGTGAGAGAAAACTGGAGCACCTGGAGGAAACCCATGCAGACACAGGGAGAACGTGCAAACTCCACACAGACATTTGCCTGAGGATGGAATCAAACCTGGGTCCCTGGTGCTGTGAGGCAACAGCGCTAACCACTGAGTCACCATATACTTTGAACTGAATCTGTTCAATGCTATGGTTTAATTGCTATCAAATTACACACAGCATGCCCACTAGAAAGTGCAGATTTGAGCAATGAAAAAATGGTCCTGGTTTATATAAGAATCTGTAATCATTTGGAAATGTTCTGACCGAAGGATGTACCATCCCAGATAGCCAGTATTTTAATTTGTCTCAATCTGGTAAGTGATCAATGTGGGTGAATGAGACAAGGTCATCCAATGGTGATGTGGATGAGAATGTATTGATTTTAAATGATGCTGAGACCATAGTCAGTAAATCAAATGTCTGTTTCATTAACAATGATATATTGGGAACTAATTTCAACTGGCAGAAATGGCAAACTTCGATTGAAAGCAAGATTTTAGTTTTCATTGCATTTCTCACAGCTGCTGGATGTCTGAAAGTGCTTTACAGTCAATCAAATACTTCTCAAGTGTAGTCACTGTGGTAGTGTAGGGAACATTGCAGGCAATTTGTACAAAGCAAGATCCTGCAACCACAATGGGCTGATGACAAGATAATGTGTTGTTTTTACAATCTGCAGCTAACTGAAGGATACATAGTGGCGAAGGCATTGGGGAATGACTCTATGCTCTTTTTCAAACTTCTTTTACACTGATCCAAGTAGGCGTCATTTTTAACACCTCATCCAAAACATGGCATCTCTGATGCTGCAGCATACTTTCAGTACTGCACTGGATGGTTCGCTTTGATTTTGCACTCAAGTGCTGGAGGGGGACTTTAATCTAGAGATTCAAAGGCAAGGCTACTACCAAGTGAGCCACAGCCAACACGGAAAACCTACTGGGTAAACATGTTACTTCAAAGACATCTCATCTGAAGCACGGAGATGTTTCTGGAGATGTGATTGGATTGTATACCAATGTAATTTTTTTCCCTTTCTTTATAACAGGGCATCACTTACTCTGTAGGTGTTATACGGTCTTAAATCCCGAAAGATCATGTCTTTGGCAGGGCTGATGCTGTAGCAGCATTTGCTGGATGCAAACTCAATGAATGCTTCTCTAGCTATGTCTTCAGTGATGCTGGGAATACTGGTGAGAAGGGGAGGGGAGAAAAGCACATTGTTGTTATGATTGTATTTTGAAACATTTCTGGAACATTCACAACATCTTGAAATTCCTTGATCGTGTTTGCTTTCGTCACTCAAAACGCAACTGTGGATTGACATAACATACATTTCAAGAAAACTGGGGCCTAGCTCAAATCTCCACAATCTGCATCAATACACAATTTCATGCATAGATGCAAGCATGCCCAATATTAGTGTAACATTGTTTTAGTATTATGAAGACTAACACCACAACGATACAAGTTCAAATCCCATTGTGGGATCTTGCATTGAAAGTTGAAAGTTTGGAATTCAATTATGAATATAGCTGATGACATTATAGCTCAACACAAGTGCAAAGATATGCTTGGTGAGGTTCTACAAGAATTGGGAAGTACTTTAATCTTCGAACAAATAAAATTCTTGAAAAAGCAAGTTCACATCCCAGGGGAATCCATTGATAATTTCATTAATGACCTCTACAGATTGGTGGAGAAATGTGACCACGCAGCTTTGAAATCAGAATTCACAGGAGACAGAATTATCGTTGGAATTGCTGATGGCTCTTTTTCAAATGTATTATAGTTTAATGATTTGACTTTGGAGAAAGCCATTCAGATGCCACTGGTATCAGAAATCTGAAAGAACCTAGGGGGTATCTGAAGACAAGAAGATTTTCACAAAAAAAGCAGCTGAATCCATTCAGTTCTTAAGGTAAAAAGCACTAAAAACACACATAATATGCCAGTATGGAAATTAAATTTAAACCAGGTATGTCAACTTTTATTGTTCTAAGTATTGCCATAGGGATGCAGCAGGGTTTGGCTGTCTCTATTGCCCCTTTTTTATTGATATAAATTGTGCCTCAACATATCTGTTGTGTTTACAAAGAACAGGGCCCTATATATGAATAAATTAGTTTCAAACACACACAGTCGAATTACACTACAAGTTTTAATTGGTTTCTGATGTAATTCTTAGCACAGTCAGGGTTATTTAATAAATGATGTCCAATAACAAAGAGATCCACATGCAATGTATTTCTAAAAGTTCATAGACTGCTCCAGATGATATAACTTCAAGGATGGTTAAAATGAGGTGTTAGCTTGGAGGATGTACACTTCACTTTGGCAGTGTGAATGATTTTGCAATTCTGAAAAAAAGTGTGCAAAATCTACCCACCAGGAAACACTGACTAGCAGGAGAAAAAAAAAAATCACCACATGCTCAAAATATATCAACCAATCTCCTAACAGACAAATCAAAAGATACTTGGTTCACATTTCCTTTTATTTTGGTATGCTGCATTGTCGCTTTGTACTGTACTGCTCCCTGCTGACAGCACTTGGACTTCATTCCAGCCTAACCCTGAGGCCAGTCATTGTACTTTGGTCCATATTTAAATCCATTGTTATAAAAAGATTGAGATGAATGTCCAGGGAAAGAAGATACGTTGCCCAATTTCAAACTTAGCTTGCTGGCTGCATGCACTGTTATTATTCATGTGTTTGCTATTTGGCACAGACATGCAGATTAAAGATACAGAGGTAGGCCATTCACCATGAGCCTGATTTGCCATTCTATCATAAGGCAGAATCACTAGGGATCAGAATTTATGTTCTCACGCCTCAGTTCCCAGTGAGTAAGTAAAATAAGCCAGTGTTCTGCTGCAGTACTGCAGGGGTTCTGTATTGTCAGAAGTGCTAGCTTTCCCTGTCGAACGATTAAATGGAGGTTCCTTCTGCTCTCTCAGGTCCCCACGCTGATTTTTAAAGAGCGACAGGGGAGTTGTCCCCCAGTATCCTAAATCAACGCCAAAAAAGACAGAAGATCTGGTCACTTATTTCACTGCTGATCTTCTCTAAATTGTAACAGGGATTCTGTTTTTTTATTTAAGAGCATTGGCTGTAAAATGCTATGGAGAGCCCAGAGGTCATGAAAGATGTTATGTAAACAAAGATTCTTCCTTTTTTTTGTGTAATGACATACTGAATGTGATCCTTCAACATCCCTGAGAACCCACCCCTCATGCTTTAGAAGCCCTATCTTAAGTATTCTCTAAAGAGGAACAATCTTAACAGTCAGACCCCATGGAAGTTTTTAAATCTCTGCAGCGGAGGCCAGCAAGAAAACTTGCAGATGACACCAAAATTGGTAGAGTAGTTTATAGCGAAGGAGATGGTTGTAGGCTACAGGAAGATACAGATGGGATGGTCAGATGAGCACAGTAGTGGCACATGGTATTCGACCCTGATAAGTGGAAGGTGGTGTACTTTGGAAGAAGAAACAAGATGAGGGAGCATTTAATGAATGACAGGACTCGGAGTAGCTTAGAGGAACAGGGAGATCTTGGGGTAATTATTCACAGATCCCTGCAATCAACAGAGCATGTGAATAGGACAGTTAAGAACGCATGTGGGATACACGTTTTCATCAGTCATGGCATAGAGTAATGTTGGAGTTGTACAGCGCACTGGTCAGTCCCCAGCTGGAGTAGTGTGTGCAGGTCTGGTTGCCTCATTACAAGAAGGACGTGATAGCACGAGTGGGGTTAGTGGTAGCTATGGCGTTGCAGACTCGATGGGCCAAAGGGCATTTTCTACATTGTACAAAACTATGAATTCTGTCTCTCTCTGCCTGTAAAGCACGCACAAGACAACACTTTTCACTGTACCTCGGTACACGAGACAGTAATAAATCAAATCTCTCTGGATGCAAGAACTGCCGATGTGGATGGTTCATTTGTCTAATCAATGGGATTTTGAGTCGACACACCTTTCACAGCAGGCACTTTCCAAACGCGACGTGTGCGTTAGACATATGCTCTATATTTAACTGAAGACTGGTTGCAAAATACAAATCAATAATTAATAATTAAGCAAGGTACCAGCGCAGCCATGCCAAAAAACCCAAAGTCAGAATTAACCAAGTTTAAAAACAGGCTTGAGGGACTCACTACAAGTTCATTACAAAATTAACTGACAACTCACTAAGCAACTAGTTGTAAGCTGTTGCCAGTGGTAGCACTGGGGCTTCAAGTCAGAAGCTGGAACATCCATCCCAGACACTATAATTCTGAGTCCAGTTTGGTATTCCGGTTCCATTCTGAGGGATTGCTGCACACAGGTCACTATTTGAAGAACAGCAGGGCACCTGCTGATCTGGTCGACATTTATCCCTCAAATAACCTGGCTAGAGATAAACTTTCTGGTTATTTTCTCGTGTGGGAGGATGCTGTGCAAAAATTGGCTGCCGTGTTTGCTCACAACATGACAGCAATTACAATTCAGTAGCGGGGGGATAGCCCAAGAAGGTGCAAGGCACTATAGAAATGCAAGATTTTCTCTTACTCCTTGCCAACCTAGTGCTTATACAGACGCTAGTCAAAGCAATGAGAAGTGCCTCCTTTCAAATCCGCCCTCCTGACATCAGAGGGGATTAGCAAATGGGAAACAGATAGTATGCACAAACAAGTCATTTTTATATCAATGAAGTGTGACTAGTACTGCAGCAAGGATCAGTGCTCAGTGATTTAGGTTTAGATTCAGGTTTTATTGTCACGTGTACTCAGAATACGAGGTCAAGAGCATGGTGATATGTGTACAATGTCACACACGGCACCAGCTTAGTAACTAGGTACAAAATGTTAGTTACAAAAGTAGGAAAATAAAAAAATAAGTTTAAAAGTTCAGCACTCGTCTTCTTATTTTAAAAGTAGAAAAATAAAGTCTAAAGATTTTAAAAATGTATTAGTTATACAGTTTAGAATATATTTCATTGGCTTGGTTGAAGGGGCTGAATTTATGTTTGTTAAATTTGCACCTGACACCAAGATAGGAAAGGAACTGTCACTTTGTGACCCCACCTCAATGAATTTCAGACATGATGTGATGTTTAACTTATTATGCATCCCCTCCATCCCCGTGCTAATGTTTTTTGACACGAGCCTTCTCTCCTCTTTTGGACACTTTTACCATCTCCAATACTCTCCCTTCATCTGGACACTTACACTTGATCTCTACATCAAGAGGTGCCAGTAGCCTCCATCATTTCTCTCCTCCCCCTCACCCACCCAAACTGTCTCCCTTTGAACACGTTGCACTCTGTTCTCTCACGTCTAACCCTGACGCTGTTATCAAATCCGCTGAAGATGGGGTGTGGTTGACAATGACCTTGCAGAAGCTGAGCGCCATCTCTCCCTGAATCACAGCTCCACTGAACATCAGGCTGTCACTCCCATGACTGCCACTGACCTCATTTCCACCACAGCTTCCCACCTCATAGCCCCCTAACCACACACAGCCCGCTTCTACCTCCTTTCCCAAAACCCACAAACAGGACTGACTCATCGCTCCAGCCTGCCCCTGCCCCACTGAACCTATTTGTTCTTATCTTGACTCTATTTTGTACCCCCCCGGCCTTGTTCAGGTTCTTCCCACTTATATTCGCGATTCGTCTGATGCTTTACATGGGTTCCACAATTTCCATTTTTCCCAGTTCCAGCCACCTACTATTCACCGTTTATGTGTCTGTGACCTGTCCATCATTTCCACCTTTTCCTGATGATGCAACAAACACATCTTCTCCTCCTCTCCACTGCCAGCATTCTGCAGGGAACGTTCCCTCCATCACACTGCAGTCCACTCCTCCATCACTCCTAACACTTCCTCACTCCACCACAGCACCTTCCCATGCAAATGCAGAAGATGTAACACTTGTCTTCTTGCCTCCTCCATTCTCACTGTCCAAGACTCCAACCACACCCTCAAGATGAAACAGCCATTTCCCTGCATTACTTCCAATCTAGTCTACTGTATTCACCGCTCACAATGTGGTCTCCTTTACATTTTTGAGACCAAACGCAGACCAAGCACCTCTGCTCTACTTGTAAAAATGACCCTGACCTTCCAGTTTTGGCCATTTCAATAAACCATCCTGCCCATATGCTAACGTTTCTGTCCTGAGCCCTTCACAGTGTTCTAAAGAAGCTCAATACTAACTGGAGAAACAGCATCTCATTTTCACTTCAGCATTTTAGAGAATTCAGCACTCAACATTTAACTCAAAGCTTTCAAGCAAGTGTTTCAATTTTGATTATGCTCCCCACCCCCTACCCCGCCAGCGCACGCGCGTGCACACACACACACACACACACACAGAGTAAGTTTGCTCTCAGCAGAGCTGACCCATGTTCTACTAGTCACACCTACCATTAACACTTACCTTACATCTCAATCTCTCCTTTACTACTGTTAGCACTCCCTTTGCCCTTTGCTGTAGGCACCCTCACCATCTGTTGCACTTGCTCTTCCCCCTCCCACAGCTCTGTCAACAGCATAAGAACACCACTTGCCAAGCCCTTTCATTTCTGAACAGCAGTCATAAAGGACTCGAAACATTCACTCTGTTTCACTATTCATAGATCCTGCCAGACCTGCTGAGTTTCTCTAGCACTTCCTGTTTTTATTTCAGGAAGGGAAGTAAGTTGGTGAATAGGACATAAGGAATCTGCAAACCGATAAAGATAGGTTAAGTGAGTGTACAAAGATATGGGAAATATTGTGGAAAAATGTGAACTTGGCAGGAGGAATTGAAAAGCAGCATATTTAAACAGAGACAGTATAGAAGAAGAAAATTGATCTTATTGAAAAATACAAGATCCTGAGGGGACTTGACAGAATGTTTGGCCAAAGGAATGTTTTTTTCCTTTTTAGAAGAGAGTAGAACTAGGAGGGGACTCACTTCACAAATAAGGGATCTCCAATTTAAGATGAGAATGAAGAGAAATTTTTCATTCAGAGGATCATGAGCCTGTGGAACCTTCCTCTGTGTGGAGGGTGGATCATTGATTAATTCGGAGGCTGAGTTAGATAGATTCTTATCTAATGAGGGAGTTGAAAGGTATCAGGAATAAGCAGGAATGAGGAGTTGAGGTCACAATCAGATCTGCCAATGGGGTTAATGAATTTTTCAAGAGGTAGAGCAGGCTTAAGGGGCTGAATGGTCTACCCTTGTTCCGAATTAATTTGTATGTGTGTGTGGAACTAAACCAAGTCGTTCTGATATTTAATAAGGAGCATGCTAATGAAAGCCCAGGTTGCAAGGCTAAAAATGGGGTTCAAGTGTTGCAAGGTTAACTGTGACTTGTCACTTTTAGGACCTCACCTCCACGCAGTCTGCGGACGAGGCACGTCTCTCCGTGCTCCTTCTGCTATAGAAACCGGTGGGAGAATGTAGCTTCCATCTGCGAATAATAAGTACACCATCAGAATGTCACCTGGTATATCCAGGCTCTCAACTGAGGCCCTCTGATGTCACACACACACGCACACTCACACACACATGCGTGCGCACACACAGGTGCGCTTGAATGCGTGCACACACCTGCTCAAACGCAGTCACACACCACACATACACACGCTTGGACGTACACTCGCACTCGGACACACAGACACACACACGTGCGCGCACTCAGACGCAAGCACACACGGACACACACACGCCCACTCAAACGCGGACACACACACACATGCACACCTGCTCAAACGCGGTCACACACCATACACTCGGGCACTCAGACGGGCACTCACACGCGCGTGCGCTCAGGCGCGCACGATCTGATCCACACACACACACACACGCATGCTCAGACGCACTCACACTCAAATGTATACACTCCCCCACCCTGGTTGGAACGTGAGTGCTAAGACACATGCGCAAGTCAGGAAAGCTGCAAGTTTTATTGCAACTTTGTGCTCACTTCGGTTAGGGCACTCATACTTGCTTCAAGTTGATACACTGAAGAGGCTTTAGGAAGGTGAGAGGGTCCCCAGTCCTCACAGATACCTAGTTACTGCTGTTTGGAAGAAAACGGGACTCTGAAATTATCTAATGTGCTCCAAAGGGATGTTTAAGACCTAATGGAATGACAGACGTTTTAATTAACAGTTTGTGTCCAAATTGTTTGTATAAATATGGGGAGCTAGTTATCAATACAGTTATAAAAAAGTTTCAGAAGTAATCTACGGGGTGTGAGTATTAGGAATGTGGCTAACTGTAACAACTGACTAAAAACTGTGGACTAGGATTCTGTTCAAAAACATTATTAACTAGTGCACATCATACACGGGTGAACCTGTAGGTATAAAGAAGGATTGGGTTTGGCTGTGATGCCTACCACAGCCAAAGAGTGCAGTGGCACTCCATATTGGTCACTTGGGCAAAGAACTGGGGGATTTCTGGTACTGCAGTGGGAAGTGACAGGGTTCTGATGTCGAGACGGGGGGGGGGGGGGGGGTTGGAAAACGGGGATAAATGGAAGAGCTTCACTATATTTTGATTCTACCCACATTTGAAGTTAATGACATGTTGATGTCGCAGCTTCGTTCTGCATGTAGTTATCGTCTTGGCTCAGCTGATGGTTGGAGTTTGAAACTGTGCAGAAGACTAGTCACTCCATCTAGACAGCCATTCCAATGCAATGCTAAAGCAGCAGTGCATTATCAAAGATGCCATTAAGTAGATACAACACTAAGAAGTGGTCCCGTCAGCCTGTTCTACTGCCCCAGGCAACACTAAAAGATCCCACAGCACTCTTCAAAGATGAGTCGAGAGATCTCCTGGTGTCCCCTATCCATCATTTTCCTCTCAATGTTCATTGCTGGAGATAGGATCTTGAGAGAGCTAAGCCAATAGTGAATTGCAAGTCTTCCTTTTCTCCCTTGCTCAATACAAATGGGCAGGATTGTTGGCAATCAGTTAGCTGGCTATTTATTGCTGGTACCCGTGGTAGTGCAGCTTCTGGCCTCATTGAAACCACAACCTCAGCCAATACTGCAATGCGATTTCCATTGACACCAACCCAACATGGCTGTGCAGGTACAGGGTTGGGGTCCTAGCCCATTACTGGAGTGAGGCCTCTTCATTTCTACAAGGGCTCATGCCTGCAGTTGGTGCGTAATTTCGCTAACAAAGCCCCTCAGCCGACATTTCTTACGTACCACCGCCCGACGCGGTTCCTTCATACCCAACAACGTCGTCCAGCATATCGACTGGGGGCGCCGATGCCCATTCCTCACCTGGAGAGGTTTCAGGGAAAGCTGCAAGCAGAAGGTGACATTTCCTTTCGTTAATTGTTTAATTGAACCGCTCGCCCGGTAACTAGTGCTTTTCCGAAGCTAACTCGACTGGCCAAAGAGTTGCACCAGGCCCCACACACTGTCATTCACCATCACGGGAGGTTTCACTGTATTACGTGGAATTGATAGCATTCTGCCCCAACTTATCCATGCCAGGTTTATGTTCCACAAACACCTCCTCTTAACTCTCTTCATCTAACAGTATCAATGTATTCAATTCTCTCTGTGTGGGTCACCTGTTCTATTAACAGATCCACATTTACTGAAGGACTGCACGAGTCCAAATCCCAGAACGTTAGCTAGTGGAATTTAAAGATCCATCGGATTCACAAATGTCCTTTAGGGATGGAAACTCCTATATTTACCTGGTCTGGCCTACATGTGTCTCAAGACCCACAGCAATGTGTTTGACACATTATGGTCGAGCTCAGCTCAAAGGCAATGATGGATGGGCATTGACAATGATACCCACATCCTGCGAGCGAACGAATTAAAAAGAATTACTTTGAGATGTGTCTGTTTGGCCCTAGGAATTTGACTGGAATTTTCCTAACCCCCTTGGAAGTGGCTGAAAATGTTTGGAAATTCAGAAGGGCTCATGTTGGGATGATTCCCTGTTTTGCGCTTTTCTTACTGGCTAAGTGAGCATTTATTGCTCATCCCCAATTGCCCAGAAGGCAGTCAACCACATTGCTGTGGGTCTGGAGTCACATGTAGGCCAGACCAGGTGAGGATGGCAGGATCCTAAAGGGCATTAGTGAACCACATGGGTTTTTCCCCAACAATTGACAATGGATTCATGGTCATCATTGAACTCATAATTCCAGATTCCTTTTAAAAATTTCAATTCCATCATCTGCTGTGGCAAGATTTGAACCAGGGACCCCAGGGGAATTAGCTCAAATGGTAGAGTGCTCACTTAGCATGTGAGAAGTACTGGGGTCTACAGCCATATTCTGAGGCGGGATGGCTCAGTAGTTAGGGTGTCTGTCTGTGTATGGGGTTTGTATGTTCTCCCTGAGTCTGCCCTGGTTTAGTGGCAGCACAGCGGTTAGCACAGGGACCCAGGTTCAATTCCAGCCTCGGGTGACTGTCTCTATGGAGCTTGCATGTTTTCTCCCTGTCTCTGTGCCAGTTTCCTCTGGGTGCTCCGGTTTCCTACCACAGTCCAAAGGCATGCAAGTTAGGTGGATTGGCCATGCTAAATTACCCTTAGTGTTCAGGGATGTATAGATTAGGAGTGTTAGCCATGGGAAATGTGGGGCTACAGGTATAGTGTTTGGGGGATGGGGGATGGGGGATGGGGGATGGGGGATGGGTGGGATGCTCTTTGGTGGGCTTGTGTGGATTTGTTGGGCTGAATGGCCTGTCTCCACGCTGTGGGTTTTTCTATTGGGGAAAAAAAAACATTGCGTGGGTCTCTGGAGTAACATTCCAGTGATAATACCATGAAACCGTCACCTCCCCACCTCCATTTCTTTTCCGAAAAGCAATTGATGGTGGGGTGCCAATTAAGCCTCAATTATCAGCACTTGTCTGCTTGGATTTCCAACATCGCACAGCATCCTTGGCACAATTCAGCTCTTGGTTTCTTCAGCCCCTCATGTATGTTACTGAACAGCAGTGATACCCTCACACTCAAGCCCAATGGGAAGATTTGGGCTGTTGACCCTCATAGCATCTCCTTCAGGGAAGGAAACTGCCATCCTTACCTGGTCTGGCCTACATGTGACTCCTGACCCACAGCAATGTGGTTGACTCTGAACTGCCCTCTGGGCAATTAGGGATAGGCAATAAATGCTGCCCAGCCAACGATGCCCTCATTCCGTGAATGAATAAAGAAAAAAAAAGTATGTAGCATTGGATGGCTTAACATTAAATGTAAAGATGATTTAAAAATCAAATTTAGGTGGGTGAAATTCTGTTGCATAACAAGTTGTGCTTATATGTTAGACACAAGAACCCAAACACGGCTGCCCTCTGATAAAGCCACAATCGTCCAGCAATTAAGAGACCTGGTAAGCACAGACGAAATAAAAACCACAAAGGTTCAAACACCACCAAGGCAGTTTGAGAAAATAAAACTGGAAATAAAGTAAAAACCAAAAGAACTGTTGATGCTGTAAATCAGGAACTAAAACAGAAGTTGCTGGAAAAGCTCAGCAGGTCTGCCGGCATCTGTGAAGAAAAAAAATCCAGAGTTAAAGTTTCACGTCGGGTTCTGAGGAAGGGTCACCGGACCCGAAATGTTAACTCTGGATTTTTTTGCTTCACAGATGCCGCCAGACCTGCTGAGCTTTTCCAGCAACTTCTGATTTTGTTCCTGGAAATAAAGTAGGCTGGTATCAGTAAACGTGGCTGTGAAGCTGGTAGAATTATTGTTAAAAATCCAATTGGTTTAATGATTTCCTTCAGGGAAGGAGATCTGTCACACACATCTGCTCTTGTCTTGAGCCAACGCGGCTAATTCCCAATCGTCAATGAATAAACCCACCAAGCCAATTCAGTTGCATCCAAGTAGAGATGTCAATACATGGTAACCTCAGCAACAAGTTAAACCCAGCAGAAGCTTGATCTCTCATTAGGGAATGCATCGGGTAAAAGAGGATCACATGCTAACTTACCCACTCCTGCCTCCTGCTGGTTGCCATTGAGCATTGTTGGTAAAACCGTGGGGATAACTTATCAGGCTCAAGGCCTGACATTTTCCCCACTGTGACTCAATTTTGAGCCTGCAACATTTGTTGTGAACACCTCCAGCCAGTGAGAGGGCAGTGGGGGTGAGACCTGTGACAGTGGTGGGGTGGGGACACAGAAGCTCCTTGATGGGGGCCAGGGGGCAAAAGAGAAGCCTGTGAGAATTGGTGGGGGAGCACAGAGATCTACAATGGCCATTATTGGCCCGGAGCTTGCAACCGCAAAAATTTCACCTGAAAACGTAGGGTCCTGACCCTCCACTTTGGGAAGCACTACGCCAGGTCCACAAGAACGATCCCAGAATTTAGTCCAGCAAATCCTTAAGGGGTTGGAGAAGTGTAGCAACGATTTCATGCTCCTATCCACGACTCGCAATCTTCAGAAACGAAGGTCCTCACCAGTAGGAGAAACCCAACTTGAGGAATTAGCCCTTCACTTCAATATTCAATGGCCATTTATCCTGGAGAAACAGTCTCCACAAGCCATTTAAAGCAGGAAATTGTGATGGGTATACTGTCTGTCACCACAACAGCTCCACAGTTGGCTTCCCAGAAAGGCAACTGCAGTAAAGGGGAACTCTTCTTTCTGTTCATCCTCTCTACTTTCAGAGGGTTTAACTACATTAGTTTAGAGGCTGGTGTTAAACCTACGAATAAACTGGGGAAATATAGCTGGGAGTAGGTTTCTCTAGAGACTTCAGTTGCTGACTTCAACTATTGCCTTGACAAAAACATTCAGACACCTTATTCCTGACAGTAACAACCACGTTTTCATAATTCCCCTCCATGTTCTTATAAGCAAATTCCCAGCCAGAAAAAGAAATACCTCAAAAGATTGAGAGATCAACCTCTCAGACAATAGCTATCTGTTGAACACAATGCTTGAGAGATAGTAGGAACTGCAGATGCTGGAGAATCTGAGATTTTCCTGCTCCTCTGATGCTGCTTGGCCTGCTGTGTTCATCCAGCTCCACACCTTGTTATCTCACAAAGCTTGAGGTTGTTTTGAGTCCAGACCACACGGTTTAGCAACCAACTTAGAACAAACCACGCAGCTTATTCAATGTGAAATGTATGCACAGTTGGGGGAGACAGTGTTTTTTACAAAAAAAAACACCATTTTGTTTGCCCGCATGTACCAACCACAAATTTCTGTCATTAGCTTTACTGTAACAGACTCAGGCAATGTAATAAGATAAATCCACAAGGCTGCCTGGTTTCTGCTTCTTCTGTAATGTTCTCGAGTCCAGTTAGATTTTAGTGGGTTGCAAGTCATGCTTAAGTTCGAACAGTGCATCAAGTGTAACCAGAATTAGAATTTCCCTTCTCTGACCCCACTCACGTTTTTACAATCTCAGGGTGATGAAAGATCCAATTTATCAGGAAAGGACGAACAGCCTGGGTATCTTTTCTTTTAAATAAAAAAGGTGGGGGTTGGGCTTAATGAGAGGACTTTAAAAATTACAATAGTGTTGATAGAGTAGTTACAAGGAGGAAGCTTCTTTCTGAGGGGGTACAGCAAACTCCAACCTCATCAACATTTTAGAATTCGGAAGAAGCATCTTTACCCAAAGAGCGATGAGAATGGAGAACTCGTTCTCACAGCGAGTGGTTAAAGCGAATAGCTTAAGGAGAGGCTGAGGGAGGAGATGATCATGGTGATAAGATTGAGGTGAGAAAGGATGGGAGGGAGGATCACCAGCACCCTTTGATTACTCCCAATGACCAGTTTCTGTGCCCTATGTGCGACTAAGACGTGGCTAAACGTGTTGGCAGTGCCCCAGGCAGGGGATCACTTCCCTAACTCGGAAGCCATTTAGCAGTGTACTTCGTTGTCCCCCCCAAGAAGGTGTTGGCTCCTCACACGGTTCACTGCTGCTGGTGACCCAACAGTCTCTCTCCTGGGTAGCCACTGTTCACACCGGAGTCTTGGAGAGCAGGTCAGCTAGATAGGCGGCTGTAAGGGAGGGGAAAGCCTGGGGTATCACAGCCCTGCTTCATCCAGTCATCATCCACCACATGTAAGGACTGTTGGTTAGTCATCAGGGGAGGGAGAGAGCGAGAGAGAGAGCCCTAGTCAGTTCTACCACCATGAAAACCACACAAGCTGCTCTACTCAAATCTCTCCTCCATTTGAGCACAGCGGATGTCCCTTCTCTCACTCTAAATGACAAAGCACTCACTAAAGATTTCATGCTCTGCTGCTCCAAGTTCTCGTTAGCAAGCACAGATCCCCACACCTCCTCATCCACAATAGATGGCTGTATCTTCAGTTGTCTAAACTCTGGAATCCCTTTCTCTGCTTCTTTATTTCTCTTTCCACCTCTAACATGTTCTTTAAACTTATCTTTCCGAATAAACTTCAGGTTACCAGCTCTAACGCCTCCTTACACGACTTGGTGTCGAACCTTGTTTGGTAACGTTCCATGGAAGTGCCTTGGGATGTCGTACTGCAGTAAAGGAGCTATATAAATGCAGGTTGTTGTAGTGACAGGCCAGCCACATGCACATCCTCACTCTGCATTGCCCTATTATACCTCACTGTCCCCCAGGAATGCACCATAGAATCCCTACAGTGGGGGAAGCAGGCCATTCAGCCCATACCATCGCTCCAAAGAGCATCACACCCAGACCCAACCCCCTACCCTATCCCTGTATTTCCCATGGCTAATCCACCCAGCCCGTATATCCCTGGACAGTATGAACAATTTAGCATGGCCAATCCACATAATCTGCGCAATTTTGGACTGTGGGAGGAAACCGGAGCACCCAGAGGAAACCCACACAGACACGGGGAGAAAGTGCAAACTCCACACAGACAGTCACCCGAGGGTGGATCTGAACCCGGGTCCCTGGCACTGTGAGGCAGCAGTGCTAACCGCTGAGCCACCGTGCTGATCCATCACAGCTCTGTGACCATTCCTTGAACAGGACACTCCTGCAAAACAAGTTTGCCATCACTCAAGTTCAATGCTGCAACTGGTTAGAAAATAATGTGGAAAATATTTCATTAAATGTTCCCACTGAATTTCCTTGTAGCCGGTCACACAGAACTCACTGAAAGGCTAATAGCAGGATCAGAGATTCCCAGTAAACCACCCACAACTACCACTGATGTGCTTTCTGAGAGTGTCCGTCCACACACATAGTGGCCATTTAACACTTATAAAGAATTCAGACCGAGCCGAGGTTTTACCTGAAGCTGCTGGATCAGCCTCTGGTGGCATGGATCCATAGCTGTCCCTGGGTCCAGTGGCACTGAAACAGAAATACAGGAATTCATCAGCATGAAGTGAAGAAGCTTACCGCACTCATCCACATCACTCATACAACCAGCTCGATCTGGAGACACGCAAGAAAAACCATTCCTTTTTATGACAAGTATTTCCTACCATCTACCAAAAGAGAAGTGCTATCACAGGGATCTTAAAAGAAGCAAAATATGCTTGCATTTATACACAAGCTCGGGATGTTCCAGAGCACTTTGTTGCTGCAATGCAGGAGTTAATTTGCGCTTTGCAAGATCCCACATATAGGAATGGAGTAAATGGTCCAGTAAAATATTTAGGAGACGTTCGTTCAAGCTCAAATATTAGCCAGGATACTGGGGAAGATCCACCCTGTCCGTCATATATAGGTAACCAAAGACCCCTCCCACCTCCTCCAACCTCTTCTGTCCAGCAGAAGATACAAAAGCTTAAATACATGTACCAACAGATTCAAGAACAGCTTCTTCCCCACTGTAATTGGATTTCTGAATGGACCTCTCAAATTTTAAATTTAATGTTCACCTTGCTCTTTGGGCACCTTCCCTGCACCGTTGTATTCCTTGCTCGGTTCTAATACCCTTATTTGGTGTAATCTGCCTGTACTGCATACAAAACAAAACCTTCCACTGTACCTAGGTACACATGACAATAATAAATCAAATCAAATACTGCATTAAAGGAAAACTAGATAAGCATGCTGAAGAAAAAGGAAAGACAAATTTATTAATGGGTTTATTGAAGAATGGTAGGAGAAGATCGGGGTGGACCTGTTGAGTGTGTTTGATAAGGCTGAGTGTACTTTCCAGTGTGAGAAGATGTTTTGCAAACATGCAAGGGAGAAAATGAGGCTTCCGTCTAATGTCTTAGGTCTGGGTTTGAATCCAGCTCAAACTGATACGCTGCAAAAACCTCATCCTGCCACTACTCCAGTTTCAAACCTGTTCCCAATGATCACAAACCCACAGCAACCACTCAACATGCAGCAGAAGGTTACCAAGGTGGCAGAGATACAAATGCAACTCCATTGTCCCTGGGGGACAGGTTCTCCTGAATTTGCGATGGATGTACGTGGTCAGGTAACGTGCGAGGATCTTCACCCAGCATCTAACCTTTACTCGACCTAACCAGGATATGATGGGATTGTAGAGTCAGGGATCTTTCTGTTAACTGACCCCAGTTGCTGTATTCTATACTTTGGTACCAGTTGTGGCTCAGTGATAGCACTCCTCACTCAGAGTTAAAGGGTTTTGGATTGGAGTCCCACTCTAAAGGCAAGAGCGTGTATTCCAGGTTGACACTCCAGGGAGTGCTGCATTGTCGGAGATATTGTTTTTCAAATGGGATGCTAAACTGGATTTAAGGTACGTGCAAGAGATCTTCTGCGACATATTTACAGATAAAGCAGGTGACCGTTTGTTGGTGTTTACCCCTCAATGATCTCACATCAGTTATCTGGTTAGATCACAAAGCAGTTTGTGGGAACTTGGTGAGTGCAAATTGGCCATTGTGTTTCCCAGGCTATAACACTGAGTAAACTTCCAAAAGTACCTCATTGTCAGTAAAGTGGTTTGGGGTGCCCAGAGGTCATGCATGTGTTTCTGGGTCGTTCTGACCTAGCGTGTTCCAGTTCCATTTTCCAGGAAAACATCTGAACCGAGCTGGAAATCGTGAAAACAGGAAAATATGTGTTGAAAACCAAGTTGGGCACAGGAAGGAAGAAGACAGGAAAAGCTATAAAGGTGAAGGGGAAGGACATCAAGAAATTGATCAAAAGTACAAAGAAGGAGAAAAGAGGCAGAAAATATAAATCATGGTAAGTGCGAGGTGTTTACTTAGAAGTGAAAATATGAGAACGCAATAATGAGTTTAGAATTGAAAAGCTGAAAAACAGGACTGGCCTCTTTGTGACTTCATGTCTCTCCCTATTTCTAGAACTTGCACCAAATCTCTCCTTTGAACTTTGCATTCCTCTAGTCTAGATTCCTGCGCACCCACATATACATGTGTGAACAAGAATAGGGCACTTGGCCCTTTGAGCTTGCTCTGCCATTCAATAAAATCATGGCTGATCTGATTTTAACCTCACCTGTATTAGTACAGCACACCTCCAATAATATAGAAATCCAAAATCTATCCACCCCCACATTGAAATATTTGAAGATTCTGCACACGCTAGCTTTTGAGAAACGGAGTTCCAAAGACTCACAACTCTCAGAGGCAAATACTTTCTCCTCATCTGTCTTAAATGGGCAATCCTTGATTTTTAAATGCTTAGTTCTAGATTCTCGCAAGAGGAAATATCCTCTCCATATTCACCCAGCGAAATCTCCTCAGGATCTTATATATTTCATTTCAGTCACCTCTGACTCTTCTAATCTCCAAAGGATACAGTCTAGTCTTCTGGTGTTTCCTCATAAGGCAATCCACACATTTCAGGTATCTTCCATAGATGTGGAAATAGGCCATTCAGCCCATCGAGTTCACACTGACCCTCTGAAGAGCATCTCACCCAGACCTACCCCATCCCTATAATCCTGCATTTCCCCTGGCTAACCCACCTAGCCTGCACATGCCTGCATACCACGGGCAACTTAGCATGGCTAATCCACTTAACGTGCACATCTTTGGACTGCGGGAGAAAACCGGAGCACCCGTAGGAAACCCACGCAGACACGGGGACAGTGTGCAAACTCCACACATACAGTCGCCTGAGGGTGGAATCCAACCCGGGCCCTGAAAAAAGAATGCAAAAAAAAAACACAACTGGACTGCAGAAAACTAAAACATTGGACTGCATTGATACGTTGCCTTTCGATTAGACAATCCATAACCAGTCATGTCTACTCGTCACGCAAGGCTTCAAGTGTACCATCTTTCTCCCTAAAGTCACCAGGGCATGAGAGGTAAGTAATTGGAGTCACCCTCCCAGAGATCCTATTCATCCTGGACCTTTGCTTTCTGCGTAATCATTATGTGGAACTTTGTCAATCCTGGGACTTTACTCTCTTAAGAGGACGAGGAGGGATTTGATGGAAGTTTCCAAATTCCCACTGAGGAGAATTTTGATCCAGGAGTTCTTCTTCGAGTCAAAAATTAAGTATTAGGGAATGCATTTATAGTAAAAAGCCTCAAAGGGCATGTAAGAAACGTAGGGGGTGAGCAGGAAAAAGAGAAGCAAGTGTGCAAACAAATGTCAAAAATGTAAAAATATTAGATCGATAACAGTTGGGAATTTAAATTACTCTTCTATAGCACTGGTGGGAGCAGTCAGAAACAGGATAAAGGGCCAGAAGGGTGAAGAATTCCTAAAGTCTCCACAGGACATTTTAGGCATTAAGCAAGGAAGCAGTGTTGGAACTAGTTCCAGAAAATGAAGGAGGGCAATTGGCAGAACAATTGGCTAATGTGATCAGAAACTAATTATGTTTAAAATTGTTACAGAAAAGGACAATGAAAATATAGCCAATTGGAAGAGATCCAATTTCAGTGAATTGGGAAAGGATTTGGAATGGGGAAACTGGAAACATAGATTGGCCAATAAACCAACGAATCAGCAATAAAAAGTTTTCACATTGATACAAATCAAGCATATTCCCAGAAGAAGATGGCAGCCCGATGGCACAAAATTAGTTCTTATTTGGGGGAAGAATAGGCACCCAGCACAAATTTGTTAAAATATGCCTGATTAGCCTGATCTGTGCTCACTTAGCCCCATCATGTTTGCTCCAGTTCTATTACCCAATGCATTTTCTCCATATTTTTCCCACGTCATTTCTATCCAAAAAAAAAATCATCCAATTCTCTCTGGAATGCAAATGCAATAAATGTTACAGAGATGGAATTTCAAAAAATAATTGATGAAGTACCACTTTTATTTTCCAAAGTACTCAGGTGGAATATAGAAGTACATGACATTAAACATGACAGTGGTAACCTGGTTAGGTAAGGTAACTGATTAAGGGAAAGATGTAAAAAGTTGTGATAAACAGATATCTTTACTATTAGAAATTAAAAATAAAACCCTTCAGGAGTCAGAAATAGATATTTTTTTTAAATAACTGGGGCTTGAGTACAGAAAGTACAATTGTGAAATTTGCAGATAATGCAAAATGTGGCACCACAGTGCATGGTGAGGAAGTGAGTGGCTGACATCAGGAGGACATGGACAGACTCACGGTACGTGCAACTTGTTGCAGTTTTTGCTCTGGATTCAGTTGTGTTGACACTGTAAACTAACATCTGTTTTCTGCCAAGAGTTCAGAGTGTGGTTTACACTGTGATAATGACCAAATAATCTGTTCTTGATCTTGTGTAAGAGCTGCACATTGGGAAAAGATGGTAAAAGTGACACTATTCCGAGGTCAGGAAGGAAGATGTTTAACAGCAGAGAGAACTATAGTGTACTGTCACAAATCTTTAAAGATAGCTGGGAAAATCAATAAGAAAGTATATGAGATCTCTGGCCTTGTGAAAAGAAGCACTGAACACAGAAACAAGGCAGTCATGCTAAAGCTTGATAAATTGACAGGGATTTCCAAAGTTGTAACTCAGAGCATTTAAGACGTTTTAGAGTTTGATCATTAATTTGTTATATTTGGGTGCCCCTAAATTGCCTGTCTATGCCTCAAGTCCTGCATAGCTGTGTGAAAGGATTCTTTGTCGTGTTGCAAGATGTCATGCATCCATTGTGGGAGATGCCATGTTAAACATGCACATTGGAAATGTACATTCTCATATCTTGTGGCACCATTCTGAAGTTATGAAGGATCTTTTTCCCCCCTCAGCTGATGCCATTAACTTTTTAAAAGTAATTTTGTTTTTTGTTAGAAGAAATTTACATCATTAGAATGGATAAGCTGGTTTCCAAATGGAACATTTCTATATTTAATGTAACCAAAATGGTTTGTCTCTCTAGGCGTACCTGAGGTATTAATGCTATGTGAATAGGCCACTGGATTATCCTAGATAAATTGAATTTAGCCCCTACTGTTACCTCGGAAGCACTTAATTGACTGCTTGATGATAATCGAGAGCTCTTCATAACTGAAACTCTGAAATGGTAAAATCACATCCAGGATTCGTGCTTTTTTCAAATCAGAATACTCTTGGACCATATGATGGCAGGAAGATCTGTTTTTGTCTAATTTGGTCTTTCTAATTGCAGGGATGATGGACGTAAGCTGAATGAATGTCCCGGCTGGACAATGTGCATGTCTGCTTGTATTAAAGCTTTATACATGTCAGTGAGTTATTCCTGAAAGTGACATACACGAGTATATTGCTAATGTAAATTAAAGCAGCATCATGAAAGGTGTTTAAAATAATTGTCAGGAACATATAAATCCTGGAGCTTATTTCTGTGAAACTAAACTCGAGAGAATAAGACATTTTGTATTTACGTCATGGGGGATGAAGTGTCTCACAGGGACATGAGAGAAAATGACACAATGGTGCAAGGAGATATTAGGGCAGATAACCAGAAGCATGGTCAGTGAAGTAGGTTTTGAGGAGTGTGTGAAACGAGGATCAAGGGATTGACAGTGGGAAAGATTTAGGAAGCAAATTCCACAAATTAGGGCCCTTAAAACTGAAAGCATTGTGGCCAATGATACAGTCATCAAAATCTAAGATGCTCCAAATGCTAAAATTAAAGGAAATCTCTGAGGATTGTGGGATCAGAGGAAATTAGAGGGAGGAAGGAGTGAGGGAGTGGAGAAATTTGAAAACCAGGATGAGAATTTTAAAACCAAAATGTTGCTTGACTGGGAGCCAGAGTTGACTGGGGTTATTGGTGAACACAGCTTACTGCGAATGAAGACATGGGCAGCAGAGTTTTGCATAACCTCAAGTTTATGAAGGACAGAATGCAAGAAGGTTTCCATGATTGTGTGGGAATAGTCATAACTGGCAATATTAAAGGCATATATGTGTTCAGCAACGTATGAGCTGAGATGGGGTGGTCAAGTAATGTACTGGCATTGGAGGCAGTCTAGAGAAGGTCCACTAGGTTGATACCAGGTATGGAGGGCCTGTCTTATGAGGAGAGGTTGAGCATTTGTTGGAATTTGGAAGAATGATAGGTGACCTGATTGAAACATATAAGATTCTGAGGGGCCTTAATAGGACAGATGCTGAAGGGTAGTTTCCCCTTGTGGGAGAGTCTAGGACAAGAGGGCATCGTCTCAGAATAAGGGGTCACACATTTAAGACCGAGATGAGGAAGAATTTCTTCTCTCAGAGGATAGTTCCTCTGTGAAATTCTTTATCACAGAGGGCTGACGAGGCTGCGTTAAATACAATCGAGACTGAGGTAGACTGATTTTGTTTAAACCAGTGCGGGAATCCAGGGTAGCGGGGAGAAAGCAGGAAAGTGGAGTTGAGGATTATTAGAGCAGCCATGAACTTATTGAATGGTGGAGCAGACTCGATGGGCTGAATGGCCTACTTCTGCTCTTAAGGTCTCATGATCTTGACCATGTGGAAGGACAAAAGCAGCACAGACATACGAACACCATCACCTCCAAGCCATGTACCATCATGATTTGGCTGCTCCTTCACTGTTGCTGGGTCAAAATCCTGGATGTCCCTTCCCAACAGCATCGACCCCACAAGGAGTCCAGTGGTTCAAGAAGGCGGCTGACCAACCCCCTTCTCCAGGCTGGTTAAGGACAGTAATAATATGATGCCTACATCCCATAATAAAAGTTAAAAAAAAAATCACTAGTTAAGCCTCAGTTCTGGAGTTTAAATCTGGGCATCAAACATTAGTACAGACATTAAAGGTCTCAGAGAGGCTACAGATGAGGTTAACCAGGATGAAAGAGCACAGTTATGTGCAGTGCCGCTTGCAGCAGTGAAGGTTAAGAGAAAATCCAATAGGAGGTATTCCTAATTATGAGGGGGCTTTAATATAGTAAATAGGAAGAAACTGTCCTCTGGAGAAAGGAATCGGTACAAAAAGTTATAGATTTAAAATAATTGACAAAAAAGATACACAAGGACTATTTTTTGTTCATACAGAGGTTTGTTGGGATATGAAATACATGATGTGGAAGTGTGTTATGGTACATTCCGTACAGATTTCCAAAAGGCAATTGGTTATGAACTTGAAGCAGACAAGTTGAGACTTGGGCCTGTGTTTCAAAGAACAGGCTCAAACTCGATTGGCTGAACAGCTTTCTTCTGTGCTGTAAGAATCTGTATTTCATCCCCGCAGTTGGTGTACCTACATTCTATTTGGAAAGCCTGTTTATTTATCAATTTACAAGAAGATGATATTTACCATAGTGGGGCTTTTCCTTTTAAAAATCAGACTTATTTTGGGCAACCAGGGGAAGTTGTTCACTTCCGCATGTAAATCAGAGGCAGAGGAAGAGAGACGTGAACTTAGAGAGAAATGGGCAAAAAAAAGGGCACAAACATGCAGAGAAACAAAGTGAGAGAGACGCATAGTTAGAAATGAGCACAGTCAGCCACACAAACACGAACAGATAGAGGTAATTTAGCATTTCAAAGACCTTTGAGAAATGTGCACAATAGCCCCATAACTCAGCGTGTCAGCTGTAGTTCAATGGTTTGCACTTTACTCTCTGAATCAAACAGGGTGGGTTCATGTTCCACTCTGTGACTGGACCATTAAACTGAGTCTGACACTTCAGAGCCATATTGAGTGGGGGCTGCACTGTTAGAAATGTTACTTTTCGAACTGAGACATTAAACAGATTCAAGAGGTGTTACACAAGTGCAGTTCTTTTAAAAAAAAAGATAGCAACGGGACTAATGCAGGGAGTAGAACCTCAAGGGGGGCCTAGCTATTCTGGCATTTTTCTCTCAAACAGCCAGTAAAGATGAGATTTGGTAGAGTAGTTCAGATGGGAGTACACAGAGCTGAAATAGGTTTTGCTGCAGTGTAGTGTTCATGAAGAAATGGTCAAGGTTTCAAAGGAGAAAGTAATGCTGTCTGAAACTAGGGTTACATTGTATATATGTGAATGGATGGAGTGTAGGTAATAAGATTGGGAGACATAGGTATAAATTGGATTATGGGATTATGATGTTGTGGTGATAACGGATACCTGGTTGAAGAAAGGGCAGGTGTAGGTGTTAAATATTCCTGGCTGCAAGTGTGTTCAGTAAAGATAGTAAAAGATAAAAGAGGGATGTTTTGGTTAAGGAGAGCATTGTAGCACTGAAGAAAGAGGATATTTCAGAGGGTACATGGGCAGAATTGATTTGACCAGAGCTGAGGAATAAGAAAGGTACACTACATTGTTCAGTGTAGTCACAGAGTTGTACAGCATGGAAACAGGCAATTCACTCCAACTCAACATCCATACTGACCAGATATCCTAAATTAATCTAGTCCCATTTGCCAGCATTTGGCCCATATCCCTATTAAACCCTTCCTATTCATGTACCCATCCAGATGCCTTTTAAATGTTGCAATTGTACCAGCCTCCACCACTTCCTCTGGCAGCTCATTCCATATACACACCACTCTCTGTGTGAAAATGTTGCCCTTGGGTCCCTTTCAAATCTTTCCCCTTTCACCTTAAACCTATACCCTCTAGTTTTGGACTCCCACCCTCAGAAAAGACCATTGCTATTCACCCTCTCTATGTCCCTCATGATTTTATAAACCTCAGTAAGGTCACTCCTCAGCCTCTGACGCTCCAGGGAAAATAGCCCCAGTCTATTCAGCTTCTCCCTGTAGCTCAAACCCCCCAACTGCAACAACATCCTTGTAAATCTTTTCTGAAACCTTCCAAGTTTCACAACATGTTCCTATAGCAGGGAGACTAGTGGGAAGAATGTAAGAGAACAATCTGCAAGGAAACAATAAAGATGTGAAAATATCACAGTGCAGGTATAATGGGCTGGGTGGGCTATAATTACCCACAGGTAGATTGGGATAGTTGCAGTGTAAGGGAAGGCCACTTTGTGTTCCGGAGAATTTCCAGCAATATTAAGTGTTCAGTTCAGTAAGAAAGGAGGCACTACTAGACCTGGTTCTTGGGAATGAGGCAGGTCAAGTAGATCAAGTGTCAATGGAGGAACATTTGGAGGACAGCCATAAAAATAAATGTTTATAATCAACCTGTCCAGACGTGTTATGACACACCTCCAAAGCAGGTGGGACTTAAACCCAGAGCCTTCTGGCTCAGAAGCAGGGACACCACCATCGCTTCACAAGAGCCTCCTTAAGTGATAACTATATAGGGGCTAGGATGACAGTGGGGCATCCTGAGGGTACTGGATAGTGATTGGAACAGACACAATGTGCAGGATTATGGGGAAAAGGCAGGAATTTGGCACTAAGTCGGTGAGACGGCGCAGACACGACGGCCTCTTTTGCACCGCTTTACAATTCAGTGATACTTGAACATATTGATCTTCCCACACCCCGCAGGCGGAATCCAAACCAAAGCAGGATCAATCTTGTCTGCCACCCATATAAAATTTCGCACGCCTCAAAGCAGTTTTCTAGCCAATGGATACTGAGAAATAACTATTTCTTTGCAGGGCCCCGTGTAGTTTCCTGATGGAATGCACACAATAATAATAACTTCCAAACGTGTGCAGACCCCATGCCTCCGCGGGTCTAAGGTGCCGCCTGTTCGCACTGACACTGGTCTGCTCGGTCAGACACAGCTGGAAGCCTGGAGCCCAGTGTCTATCGCTGTCACCCTGTTGCACTGACCCTGCTCAGGCCGAGGCTACCACTCGGGTACAATAACAACAGCGGCGGACAGACTTCGAAAAACGTCTGAACCTGCTCCTCCTGTTGCATTTTGCAGTCGGACCGGAGCTTGCAACAACTAAAATAAAAACTAGGGGCAGAAAACCAGCTTTTCATAGCAGCCAGGGGCTCTGTCAGCACAACGCGGAGATCTGAAGCTGTACCGAGAAAGTTGTTCTACCGTTCGAGTGTGTGTGTTTTACCTGAGCAGTGCTTGTTTTTCCATTCTTTTAGGCCTTCTTCAGTCGGTGTCCCCTCTCCTCTCTGTCCAAGACCCGAGTCAGTTTCGATTTCTCGCTGACCCCGCAAACGCTTCCTTTCCACCTCTTCGCTCACTCCTTCCTTTCGCCAAAGCAGCCTCTCAGAACTGTAATTAAATATTCAGGGCAGGCTCAAATCTCAAGCACTTGTCAAAAGGCGGAACAGCGGAAGTGATCTTACTCAACCCGCCCCAGTAAATTTTACACAGCAGTTCTGCCCAATTTTGTCCGTGTCTTTAAAAGACGCACGGTGCCGACGCACCGCGGGCATCCTCCTAAGCCCACTTCGTGCCCTCGCACACGTTGCCACTCTCGTGGGTGGGCAGTGTAACTATTTGGATGCTGGGGGCATCACAGTTACAGCCAGGGCTAGCCCTGGCACATCTCCACACATGGACGGAGATTCTAGACAGAGAGCAGGACACCAAATCCCACCACCACCCCACCCCACGCTGAGACTGTTCAGCCCATTGCAATGATATCCCAGTAACATTCGCACCGCATAAATGCCAGGCTATGCCCATCACCAATAAGAGATAATCTAACCATTGCCTCTTGACATTCAAAGGTGTCACCATCACTGAATACTCTACTACCAATATGCTGGGATTACCACTGACCCAAAATGAATCTGGACTCACCACATAAATACGGTGGCTACAAGAGCAGGTCGGAGGCTAGGAATACTGTAGCGAGTAACACACCTGATTCCCCAAAGCCTGTCCACCATCTACAAGGCACAAGTCAGGAGTGTGATGGAATACTCCCCACTTGCCTGGATGGGTGCAGCTCCAACAACACTCAAGAAGCTTGACACCATCCAGGACAAAGCAGCCGCTTAATTGGCACCACATCCACAAGGATCCACTCCCTCCACCACCGACGCTCAGTAGCAGCAGTGTGCACTATCTACAAGATGCACTGCAGGAATTCATCAAAGTTGCTCAGACAGCACCTTCCAAATCCAGGACCACTTGCATCCCGAGGGACAAGGACAGCAGATACATGGGAATGCCACTGTCTGCAAGTTCCCCTGCAAGCCACTCACAATCCTGACTTGGAAAGATATAATGATTCCTCAGTGTCGCTGGGTCAAAATCCTGGAATTTCCTCTCTAATAGCATTGTGGGTCAACACACAGCAGGTGGACTGCTGTAGTAAGGCAGCTTACCACCACCTTTTCAAGGGCAACTAGGGACGGGTAATAAATGCTGGCCAGCCAGTGATGCCCACATCCCACAAAAATGAAATAAACCCAAGGGGACACAGTGGGCACATTGTACTGAAACAACTCCTAGTAATGACTTACTGCCCCATTCCAGTGGCTTGTGATTGGCTATCACCAGGCAGTCAGATTATCCAGGCCAACCAGGTGACGAAAATAGTCAATTTGGGTTCCATGACGTGAGACCAAAGGAGCAACTGGTGCATGGGGTCAGAGGACATGGGTGAGGTCTCAGATGAATACTTCTCATCTGTATTGTAGATAATGTCCCAGACGCCATCATCACCATCCCTGTATATGTCCTGTCCCATTGGCAGGGCAGACCCAGCAGAGACGGTGGCACAGAGGTATACAGTAAGGAGGGAGCCCTCAGCATTGACACTGGACACCATGAAGTCTCATGGTTTCAGGTTAAACGTGGGCAAGGAAACCTCCAGCTGATTATCATGTACCATTCTCCCTCAGCTGATACATCGGTACTCCTCCATGTTGAACACCACTTGGAGGAAGCACTAAGGGTGGCTGAATGTACTCTGGCTGGGGGATTTCAACGTCCACCACCAAGAGTGGCTCAGCGGCAGTACTACTGATCGAGCAGGTCGGGTCGTAAAGGACATAACTGCTAGACTGGGTCTTTGGCAGGTGGTGAGGGATCTAACAAGAGGGAGAAACATACTTGACCTCATCCTTACCAATCTGCCAGCTGCAGATGCATCTGTCTATGATAGTATCAGGAAGAGTGATCATCGCACAGTCTTTGTAGAGACAAAGTCCCACTTTCACATTGAGAATATCCTCCATTGTGTTTTGCAGCTCTGTCACCGTGCTCAATGGGACAGACTTCGCACAGATCTAGCATCTCAAGACTGGGCATCCATGAGGTGTTGTGGGCCGTCAACAGCGGCAGAACTGTACTCCAACACAATCTGTAACCTCATGGCCCAGCATATCCCCCACTCAACCATTACCATCAAGCCAGGGGATCAACTCTGGTTCAGTGGAGAGTGCAGGAGGGCATGCCAAGGGCAGCACTAAGTGTACCTGAAAATGAAATGTCAACCTGGTGGAGCTACCAAACGGGACTACCTGCGCGCCCAACAGCTATTCTCTGTTACAGTTTGAACAAGTTGCAGACAACTCTGACCAGAATGTTATGAATGAATTTGCCCAGGTGTCCCACAATACCAAAGCGGTCAAATCAATATGAACATAAGCTGGTACCAATTCAAAACAGTGCTACTTTATTAGGAATAAAATTACAGTAATCTTTCATACTAAACATACTGTCCCTAATCCTGTTTGACCCCTTAAGGTTACAATACTTCCCAAGTCTCTTGTGGCTCTGTCTCTGGATCTGCAAAGCTGCTTTCTCTCTCTCTCTCCCTGGATGGTCAGCTGGTCTCTGCCTCTTGCCATGCTGGTCTCCTCAGAAGGCCTCAGACGATTCCAAGAGAGGTGTCCAAGAGAGAGATTTGCAGGTGAACTCTGTTTTTGTAACTTTTAGGTGATTTTCTGGAATTTTCTATAGTTCTGGATGGTCAGGGAGATACACTTAATAAAAACCGGAAGAACTGTGGATGCTATAAATCAGGAACAAAAACAAAGTTGCTGGAAAAGTCTAGCAGGTCTGGCAGCATCTGTGAAGGAAAAAACAGAGTTAACACTTCGGATCCGGTGACCCTTCCTCAGAACAGAAATACATTTAATTCTTTTAAACAAGAGTCAATCATTGAGGTGGCATGTTACTGTCAGTTTCTTTGTGTGGTAGGATCCAGTGCCTTTCTGTCTGGTCTGTACTTTATTTAGTAGATATGTTGTTGGGGATATCTGTGTAGAATAAAACATTTTCTGAATAAGGGTCCTGACCCAAAACATCAACTTTCTTGCTCCTCTGATGCTGCCTGGCCTGCTGTGTCCCTCCAGCTCCACGCTGTGTTATCTCTGACTCCAGCATCGGCAGTTCTCACAACCTCAGAATAAAACTCAGAGACAGTAGGAACTGCTGATGCTGGATTCTGAGATAACAAGGTGTAGAGCTGGATGAACACAGCAGGCCAGGCAGCATCAGAGGAGCAGGAAAGCTGAGCTGACGTTTTTTCTGAAGAAGGGTCTAGGCCCGAAACGTCAGCCTTCCTGCTCCTC